ACTGGAGGGCTGTCCTCCATCCTTTGCCTGAAGAACTTCTCAGAGCCAGGAGACCCCACTAGTGGGCACTGTGACCTCCAGGAGGGGATGGAAGCAGCACTGAGTCCCAAATTCACCTGGCACTGGAACCCTTCTGGCCTCCACCCTAAGAGCATCTTCCCAAGGGGTCCTCTGGGGAACCCAAATTGGGAATGGCTAGCATGGGACCACAGGGTCTTCAGCCACAGAGGCAAACTGACCCATCTTCATTTCATGTGACTCACAAAGACAACCGGGCTGGTTCTGGCTACGATTCCAGCACTCTCTGTGCTGAGGGCCCCTCCTGCCCAGCCCTGCCCCAGCACCTGCAGAGGCTTTCGGGAATCAGCTCTAGGTTGTTGTTGGCAGCCATGAACTCCTCCAGGCCAGTCAGCTTGCCAATGCCCGAGGGTAGCCCATCGAAGTCCAGCTTGTTGGAGTTGAGATACAACTTCTTCAGCTTGGTCAGCTTGCAGATGGCTGACTGTGGGGGCGCGGAGCAGGGGTGGGTGGTCAGGGCTGAGCCCAGCAGCCTCCCTCCACCCCACCGGCCAAGGTCCAGGACTCACGGGCAGTGACGTGAGCTGGTTGCGGGACAGATTCAAGGTCTCCACGTGTACCCACTGGTCAATGCACAGGGACAGCTCTGTGATCTGGTTGCTGCTGAGGTTGAGGCGGCGTAGGCTGGGGAGAGTGTACAGGCACTCGGGCACCCGGGTCAGGTCATTGCATGACAGGTCCACATCTAGAGTGTGAGGAGGAACACGAGTCAGGGCCCCCACAGCAGGCACTGGGCACTGCCAGCCCTATTATAAATGCCAGCTCTTTTGGAGAAACCCCACGTGGGGTAGGTCTAGGCATAATTCAGTGCTCATGATTTGATGCCATTAATAGTCTCATGATAAAGACAGAAACAATGTATTGGCTGGGGGAGGGTAGCTCATCGGTGGGGCACTGCCTTGAGTGCATGGGACCCTGGGTTCTACCCCAGCACCACATACACACACACACACACACACACACACACACACACAAACCCTAACTGTGGGCTATGGCTGGAGGAGCAGGCTGAACCCACATAATTCATCAGGAAGAAAGGGAGTGGAGAGGGATGCCCAGGGAAGTGCCAACCTGCAAGATGGCTCAGGCCCTCCAGGCTGGTGGGGAGGTTGCTCTGGGTGCGCTGTGTGTTCCGCAAGTGCAGGGTCTGCAGGGCAGTCATGGCTGGGAGCTGCCTGCCAGGGAAACATGAAATGTCAGGGACAGGGGAAGGGCCCACACAGGGGGTTTTGGTGGTGATGGGGGATTGGAGGGACAGGCACAAGGCCAATGGCAGCTGTGTGGTGAGGCAGACAGAAAGACAAGACCAAGAGGTGGATCAGGACGCTCGGGAAGGACAGGCCCAGCTTGAGGGTGCCAGCCTACACAGGGTGTAGGGCCGGGGCTCCTGGGAGTGGGGGTATGACTGGTGCAGGTGCCCACCGGAGCTGTGCATGCAGCAATGGGTTCCCATTGAGCACCAGTGTCTGCAGGTGCACCAGGCGGCGCATCTGGGGTGGCAGGCTCTCCAGACGATTCTCACTAAGGTCCAGGTACAGCAGGTCCGTGAGGTTGATGAAGAGCTGGTTGGGGATGGTGTCGATACTGCGGTGGGCGGGAGAGAGGCAGGGCTGCCTGAGTTAGTTCCAGAGCGCAGCCCCAGTCCCCCAGACACTCTGACTACACCTCGTCAGCACCTGTTATGGCTGAGGTTGAGCACCAGCATGTTCTTGGCATTCTCTAGCTCCCGAGGGCACTCCGTCAGCTGATTGTAGCTCAAGTCCTGGGCAGAAGGGACAATGCCCAGGTCAGGGGTGTTCCCACCCTGCCAAGCCTCTGCCATTCTCAGAGATCAGGCAGGACACTAAGCAGGGAGTGGATGGTGGGGAAGTGGCTCAGGGACAAAGAGAAACAGTAGGATCCTGGCAGGAAGGGTGTGAGGGTTAGGGATCTGACTCCACCAGTGACCTCAGGCAAGGCCTCAGTTTCCTTATCTGTAAAATTAGATAATGATGGCCCCACAAGGACTGTGGTCATGAGTGGTGACTAAATGGTTGGGGGTTGGGCCAGCCTAGGGGCCAGACAGGTGGGTAACTACTGACCAGGACTGAGAGGTCATCCAACTTGAAGATGTCATCAGGGACTCCGGAATTCTTCAGGCTATTGGCTCGAGCTACAATGGCCTAGGGAGAAATGGTGAGTCTGATTCCTGGTTTCCATACCCAGGAGGAGCAGAGCGGTCAGGACGGATGCCTTCTTGGGAAGCCCACCAGAGGGTAGGCCTGAGTGTTCTCCTACCTCTGGTCTTTGTTCACACAGTTCCTCCAACTGATGGGCTTTTCCTAGCCTCCTGGTGAAATCCTATTTAAACCTAAAAGTCCGATCCTCTGGGGCCTTCAGAAAAACTTTCCTTTCTTTTCTTTTTGTACTGGGGATCTAAATCAGGGGCGCTTTACCACTGAACTTCATCCCAGCCCTTTTTAGTTTTTTTGAGACAGGGTCTCATTAAGTTGCTTAGGGCCTTGCTAAGTTGCTGAGGCTGGTCTTGAACTTGTAATCCTCCTGTCTCGGCCTCCTGAATCACTAGATTACAGGCATGCACCACCATGCCTAGAAGGAAACATTTTCTGATCAAACAATCCCCCCTGCCCCTTTTTCTTCCTAGCACTGGTGATTAAACTCAGGGGCACTCTACCAGCTTCTGGCCAGACTCTGGGTCCCTAACCCCAGCCTGAAGGCCTCCTGGCCAGTACTCACCCGCAGTGAAGGCAGGCTGGACAGCTCCCCATGAAGAGTAGTCAGGTTGTTGTGGCTCACGGACAAGTGCTCCTAGGCCAGGACAGGGGAGGAAAGGCTCAGCAGGGTGGGTAGGGGATGTAGAGTTCCTGTCTGTCTCCACAGCTCTGCACCATTCAGGAGAAGCCACCACGAGCCAATCCATTTCTGCAGCCTCCCTCCCCTTATAGACAAGGCCTCTTCCTGTTCACCTTCTGGGACGGAGGGCTCACTCCCTCTCTGCCAGCTTTGCTCACAGCTCTGCATGTCCTTCCTCTATGTCTTTGTCAGTTCCATAGGCTTAGCCCACCTGGCCCAGCCCCAGCCACAAAATACCTCCCTGCCTGCCCAAGGCCCCTTACCAGCTTCTGTAGGGCAGCCAGCTCTTCTGGCAGGTAGCAGAGGCCTGTGCGGTTCAACTTCAGCCATCGCAGGCTGGTCATGGCCTTGACATTCTCAGGGAAGTAGCCACCCTGTGTGTGGGGAGGATGGATTTCGCGGTGAGGATGGCCTGGGAAAGGGGTGCGTGCCTATGTTCCACCACATTTTGTGGCTTCCACTGCCCATGGAAGTCTTCAGGGAGCAACAGAGCCCGCCCACCAGCTGTGAAACCCTGGACAAGTCATTTTTCACTCTGCATCAATTTTTTCACCCATAAAATTAAACTAAGAAAAGACAAAATTTCGGCCTGCCTCTCCTGCTGAACTCTGAGCCCCAGGAAGGCTGGACAAGACTGTCTTGTCTGGGGTGATGTCCAGCATTCCACTTTGTAGTCAGCTCTGCTCGCATTCCTTTTCCGGGCTCTCATTGACTGCCTGGAGGGGGAGTTTTCCTGAGCCTCTGTGAAGTCCCCACTATGCTCCCACCCTGCCATCAGCACAGGACCCATTCCTGGCAAGGTCCAAACCGACACTGCAGCTGAGGGTCCATCTCCCCACCCTGCACAGGATCACCTCATGTGTTCAGTCACTCGCCATATTCCAATGCCCACCTCATCAGCTCCTGCCCTTTGTGCACAGAGTCTGGGTGGCTTATGCCTTTAGTACCTTTGGCTGCTGGGTCCCTTCCCCCTGCAGCCGCATTCTTGGCTGGTGACTCAGATTCTCCCAGTCCACAGGAGACACGTGGAGACCCCAGGTAAGGACAGTAGGGATGGGTCAGAGAAAAGTGATGTGGCCACCTATGCATGGGGTCAAAGGTGTGTGCACATTCAGGTAATGGCAGGAAGAGCCTGCCTGCCTCCTCCCCAGTCCCAGGCGGTAACTGCCCATCACTCCTGGAGCACCAGCATTCTGAACAGCTCTGCCGTCACCTTCTTCTCTGCCTCCCCTCTGGCCCTGACACCTTCCGCCTCTTTCTTGACAGCCTAGAACCGCCTCCCTTCCCCACCAATTGGCTTGCGGGCGCCTGGGGCCTGTCAGTTCGGACTACATCGCCCAGTACCTCTCCCAGCTGCCTGAAGCTCTCGGTACCAATAGATCAAGCCCCGTCCAGAGGTCCAAACGGCTACTTTTAAGCCCCATGATCAGATGAGAAAACCCAGGCACTGAGAGGGGAAGTGACTTGCCCAAGACCACACAGGATGACGGTGGCGGGGAGGGTGGCGAAGAGCTGGCTCCACACCCGCCCCTGGGCAGCCCTGGCAGCTCGGCTGGCCGGCAGAGTCCGGGCCTGGCTCGGGCGTGTCACCTCAGAGGGGCGGGAGCCGGGATCGCCGACCGTCAGGCCACGCTCCCGCCAGGGCGGAGAACAGCGCGCGGGGTCGCAGCTCCAGCGGGGCCCCCCCAGCGTGACGCCGAGCCCGCGCCTCGGTCCGCCGGGGCGAGCGCCGGGCGGGTCCTCGGGGCCAGGCGCTACCGGGGCGACCGCCGGAGCCCCACCCGCCCCGCCGCGGGCCTGGGCGGCGAGACAGGAAGCGGAGAGCGGCGGGGCCCGCGCGCGAGAAAAGGCCCGTGGGGAGGCTCGGCCGCCGCCCGACGAGGCTGGGCTGGGCTCACCTTGAAGTCGTTGCCGCTGAGGTCCACGCCGCGCACGAACGGCAGCACCCCGGTGGCCTCCATGGCGGCGCCTCTCTGCTGGGCGCCGGGAGGGAGCAGGGGCGGCCCCGAGAGCCGCGGGCTGGGCTAGCGCCGGCCCCGCCCCCTTAACCCTGCCGCGCCGGGAGTCTGCGCGCCCAAGCCGCCCCGCTCCGCGCGGGGGTGGGGTGGCTTTAGCTCCCCCGAGGCCTCAGTCTCCCAGTCTCCTCGGGTCTTGGCGAGGCCTCCTTGCGTTCGGGTTGGAGGCTTGCACAACCTCCAAGTTGCGGTCGCAGCGCTCTGGGCGGACGTTGACCTTGACTCTGGGAGAGGTTCCGGACCCGGGAAGGTCCCAGTTGGGCTCGGCCTCACAGACAGGTGGTACTAGGGCATCGGAGTTCTCGGGCTTCTGCTTCTGGCCGCAATTTCCTCATCAGTTGACTGTTTCCTAAAGTTGTTGCCAGAAGCAAATGCACGTGTAGCTCTCCGCATACAGCAGGCACTCAGTGCTCGTGGCAGGTTATCGTTGTCGCCGCTTAGTGTCAACACTTTCTCCTCTGCTTATTTACTGGTTTGCTTCGTGTTCTGTAAAAAGCAGCGTCCCTCCTGGTCCATGCTGTTTATGGCTTTCGAATCCGCACACAGTAAGTGCCCAGTATGTGAGCCACAGCTGTTCTACGCACAGCTGTCCTTCACAGGGCGTTGAGGGGGGTGGTGGCGTCTCACATCCCGGTTTTACAGGAGAGAAAACAGACCTGGGGGAAGAAAAGCCCACAGAAGCTCTCACGGAGCAGTGGGCAGGGGTTGGCGCTTTCGCCACACTGTGTGCCCCGCGGCCCAATAGGTAATAACGAGGTGGGAGAATGTGGGTCTTTAGGCGAGGTGCGGTCTGTCTGCCCGGGAGGACCGTCACACACACAACCACCCCGTGGTGGGCTCGGAATGCTGCTCTGCATCTTTAAATCCGGACTTCGCTGGAGAGTCCCGTCCCTGAGGGAGCGTGGCTGGCCAGTCATTGGCTGAGCCGCGCAGTATTTTGGAACGTGCGCGCTGCAGTCCGGGGCTCCGATTGGAGGGAAGGCCTGCTCGTCTGCGTGCCTCCGGGGTCAGCGGCCGCCTCGGGGCCTCTGCGTTCGGTTCCCGGGTCCTCCACCTTCCATTCTCAGGCAGGTCTGGCCATCAGGGCCCTGCGAACCCGCTGTGTCCTCCGGTGGGTGCGCTGACTCCGAGACGCAGGTACCCCCCGAGCGTAATGGGGCGGTCCCTGGGGTCCTCCAGCTTCGGGCGTGGCGCGCGTCCTAAACACTGAACGGGGGCGTGGCCCGCGGTCACGGCTAGGGAGGGAGGGAGGACTTTGGGCCCCAAGGTCTGAGTTCGAGCTCTGCCCTTCCCGTTTTTGGGTGCAGCACTTGGTTTCCAGGACCTCAGCGACCTCACTTTTGAATGGGGCCATAACAGGCCCAACTGTGGGCAGCTACGTGACCTGCTCAGCCCTGGCCCAGGACTGGAGGGTTTGGCCAACCCGGAGGACTGGCGGCATCCAGGGCCTGGCTGCACAGAGTGGGTTATTTTTAACTCCCCGCGCCCTCCCCTACTTCCCCGAATTGGAAGGCTTCCGGCTGGGGCCTGTGCGACCCTGCAGTCTGAGTCCCAGTTTAGATAAGTGTTGGAGTTAAAATGCTTTTACAGTTTGCAGAGTGAATTACTGGTCCTGCTGTGGGTGGCAGTGTTGATTCCCATGGCTTGAATGGGGAAATAGAAACGGGCTGTGGGGTCGTGGTGGGTCACCTGGTTACCCTGTGACCTCACCGGGCCCCAGAGCTGGGTCTTATTTATAGTGTGGGGTAAGTGGGCAGGTGTCCAGGGCTGAGTCACACAGTGCTTCAGGCTTCAGCCATTCCAGGCATCTTGTCACCTGGCAGCTGGGCCACAAGCACCCAAAGTCCATCAGGGAGGTCAGAAGTCCTTGGTGCCCCAGTAGGCTGTGACCTCATGACTTGGTGGACTGGTCCTTGAGAGAGTTCTACTTCTGCTTCTCAAGTGCCTGGCCCTACCTGATCACACACTTCAGAGCTGCTCACTTCCGGCTGCTCACTTCACCGCTGCCTGTGCCAGTTCACTGGTAAGCAAACAGGCCCTGGCTCACCTTCTCTACTGCTTGGTCCCTCCACCTGCAACACTGTCCCAAGTCCCAGAGAATCCTCTCTCCCAGGGCACTATGGCTCCCTTGTGGGCTTGACACTGTTACCCCAAAGCACTTGCCCCTCTATTTGGGATCTGTGTCTCTTTCTTACTGCCTAAGGGTGGATCCTTCAGACCTGACTTGCACGTACCCATCCACAGGTGGCTCCAGCCTCAACTGCCCCATGCCTCTCTTGCAGGCAGATCATGGCAGAGTTCTCCCAGAAGCGGGGAAAGCATCGTGGCGACGAGGCCCTGGGCAGCGCTGTGGACTTCCTCCTGGCCAATGCCCGCCTGGTGCTGGGTGTGGGCGGGGCTGCTGTGCTGGGCATTGCTACCCTGGCAGTGAAGCGGGTAAGGCCTGGCTGGGTGGGACTACCTGAGACTTCCAGAGGAGGATGACAGGGCTGGGGTCACACAGTGCTTCAGGCCCCAGGAGGGGCAGTGGCACTCCCTAAGGCTGACATTGGAATCCAGGGCAACCCCAAGCTTTGCCATGACTCCCTAGACTTCTGCTTTGTGTCACTCTGCCTACAGCTCATTGACAGGGCCACTAGCCCTAGGGATGAAGATGATGCTAAGGGGGACAGCTGGAAGGAACTAAACCTGCTCAAGGCCACACCGCACCAACAGCCCCGGCCTCCACCTGCTTCCCTCAGCCAGCCTGTGTCGCTCCCAGCCCCCTTGCCCTCTGCCCCAGGTGAGCTGCATGCACCCCTTCCCTTCTGATGTGGGTGAATTTCCCTTTGGTGGTCACCTTTGGGAGATGCAGCCCAGGCTGTTCCCCTGAGTGACTTTGCAGTCCTATGCAAATTCCTGTTCCTTTCTAGGCTATGGCTTCTGATGTTTAATGGGGATCTTAGTTTTGTGGGTCTTTTTTTTTTTTGGTTGTTGTTTTGTGTTATGTTTTGCGATGCTGGAGATCAAACCTGGGTCCTTGCACTTGGTAGGCAAATACACACCACTGAATGACTCCCTGATCATACCGTTGTAGATTCTTTTTGGGGGGGGTACTTGACCACTGAGCCACATCCCCTCCCCTATTTTATATTCTATTTAGAGACAGGGTCTCACTGAGTTGCTCAGCACCTCGCTTTTGCTGAGGCTGGCTTTGAACTCTTGATCCTCCTGCTTGGCATCAAGTTTTTTGTCCTCATTCCTTCCTGAGTATGCTACCATGCTACTGTGATGTGGGGAGCCTCAGATGAGGAAACCGAGGCTCAAGAGGGGCAGGACCTGTCTTCCTCACTCTGCATGGAGTTTTTTTTAGCTGTAGGGCCAGGGTGTTGGGATTCTGGGCCAGGGCAACTTTGTCATCGAGTATTCACAGTCTTGAGGACCTAGACCTGGTACTTTCTCAGGTGGCCATTACAGGTGAGGAACAAGGCCCAGGGCTGTCACACAGCCAATAATGAGGTAGAATTCTTTTAACTTATTGTGGCGGGGTTCTTACATGTTCCCCTGGTCCCTTCACTCTGCAGAAGGTCCCACAGATACTGAGCTTCAGAAGCCACCTCAACTCGGCTCCCCAGTACCACTGTGTCTGACGTTCCAGGAGAAGTTGCTGGCATTTGAGCGGGAACATGTGGTTATCCCAGCAGCTCATGTGGCTTTGGCCAAACAGCTGGCCGGTGACATTGCCCTGGAGCTACAGGCCTACTTGCGGAACAAGTTCCCGGAACTGCCCTTTGGGCCACTTGTGCCTGGTGGTCCGCTCTATGATGGGCTGCAGGCAGGGGCTGCTGAACATGTGCGCCTGCTGACACCACTGCTGCTGGAGCCGGGCCTGTGGATTCTGGTACCTGGCGTGGACACTGTGGCCAGGGACCCTCGCTGCTGGGCAGTGCGCAGGACTCAGCTTGAGTTTCACCCCCGCGGGAGCAGCCCCTGGGACCGCTTCCTGGTAGGTGGCTACCTCTCCTCCCGTGTCCTGCTGGAGTTGCTCCGCAAGGCCCTGGTTGCCTCCGTCAACTGGCCAGCCATTGGTAGCCTGCTCGGATGCCTGATCCGGCCCAGTGTGGCCTCGGAGGAGCTGCTGCTGGAGGTGCAGCATGAGCGCCTGGAGCTCACTGTGGCTGTGCTTGTGGCAGTCACGGGGGCCCATTCTGACAACCACCTCCTCCTGGCCTGGCCCCTGGAGGGCCTGGCTGGGAATCTTTGGCTTCAGGACCTGTATCCAGCAGAGGCTGCCAGGTTGCAGGCCCTGGATGATCAGGATACTGGCACTCGCCGGAGGCTGCTGCTGCTACTGTGTGGTGTGTGCCGTGGCCATCCAGCCCTGGGGCAACTGGGCCGGAGCCACCTGACCCAGGTGGTTCTTCGTCTGGGGGAAGAGGAAGTGGACTGGGCCGAGGAGGCCCTGGGGGAGCGCTTTCTGCAGGCCCTGGAGTTGCTCATCAGCAGCCTGGAGCAGGCCAGCCTGCCCTGCCACTTCAACCCCAGCGTGAACCTCTTAGGTAGTTTGCGGGAGGAGGAGATTGATAGCATTGGTTATGCACTCTACAGTGGTCTACAGGTACCTGAGGGGCTGCTTTAGATGGGTGGGGACCGGGCAGCCAGCATGTTTTCTGATATTGGTGATCTGTACCCATCTCACTCCCAGGAAATTGCTGTTTTTTTTTTTTGTTTGTTTGTTTGCTTTTAGCCAGAACACAGGAGAGTACACTACCTAGGCCCACAGGATGGGCATATGCCTGGGCTATGGTCCCTGGGATCACTGAGCCCAGAGAGCTTAGGTAACTGTCACCTGAGTGTGACTGGGCTGCAACCACTCACTTAGGTGTCCCTCAGACCTTTGGGGTGACCTAGGACCTTGGGGTCAGACCATATCACCAGCAGCAAATCCACTGAGAATGTGTCTTCTCCATCCCAACCAGTTCCATTTTTCTGCCAAGACAGAAATTTAGTACTTTTTTCAGGCGCCCGTGCCAGGCATCCTGGAGGCATCTAAGTATCATGTGTTTGTTTCCTCCCTGGGTGCTGGAGTACCTGGTATTCCAGAGGCCAGCGTTTTGTTTTTATTTTTTGGTACCAGGAATTGAATCCAGAGGCGCTTAACCACTGAGCCACATCCCCAGCCCTTTTTATTTTTTGACACAGGGTCTTGCTAAGTTGCTTAAGGCCCTGATAAGTTACTGAGGCTGGCTTTGAACTTGGGGTTCTCCTGCCTCAGCCTTCCCAGCTGTGGGATGACAGGCATGCACTACTGAACCTGGGTAGAGGCCAGCCTTTGGCTCTTGAAGGTTGGTGTTTTCCTGCTGTCTTCTGTTTTTTTTTTTTTGTTGAATTCTCCAGCTCTAGAGTGAGATGCTGCCCATTTGATACCCTCCAGCTAGGTGAGTTTTCTCCTAAGGCAGTAGAGGCCCAAGGCCAAGGTTGTGCCTCAATAGCTGCTCCTGGGCGCCACTGGAAAGCAGAGGACACGCCCTTCCCAGAGGCCCATGTGCTGACTTGGCCTCTTCAGTGTGCCAAAATGAACTCTCAGCGGATTCTGACCTTGTAGCCTGGCCAAGGTAGTAGGGGCTGGAAGAGGGAAACTGCCTCCCCTCCCAGGCGCCCCTCCTGTCTTTGGTATCCTTTGGGCTGAAGCAAACCTCTGCCTTGAAGAAAGTGAGCAAGAATAAAAGGAAAAAATTCTCATATGTGTGCGATCCTTGCTGGGAAAGGGGTCTAGCACTTTCATGGGTGGCTGTTCAGATCTCTTAAGTCTGGTGGCTTATCCTGGCAGCTTGGCAAGAGGACTTGAAATCAACTTGGAGGTGAAAGAATTTGTTTTCAAAAGTAGTGTCTTGCTGGGCATGGCGGTGTACACCTTACTGTAGGATTACTGGGTAGTGATTGGGAGGCTAAGGCAGGAGGATCACAAGTTCAAGGCCAACCTCAGAACCCAGTGATACCCTATCTCATCAAAAATAAAAAAGGGCTGATGATGTGGCTCAGTGGTTAAGCACCCCTGGGTTAAATCCCCAGTACCAAAAAAAAAAAAAAAAAAGTGTTTTAGTTCTTTTTGGTTGCAATAACAAACTATCGTAGAATGTATAGATGGTTTATGAATAACAGAAATCTATTTCTCATTTTGGAGGCTGGAAAACCTGAGATCAGAACACCACAGATTTTGTGTGTAGTGAGGGCCCATATCCTGGTTCACAGATATCACCTTCTAGATGTGTCTTCACATGGCAGAAAGATGAGATAGCTTTAAGGTCTCTATAAGGACATTAAGTCCAATCACATTGCTGTTCCCTCATGACCTAGTCACCTCCCAAAGGCCCCACTAATGCCATCACATCCCAGGGAGGATTTCAGGATACAAGTTGCCACCACATATTCAGCCCATATGGGTCCTGTGGAGGGAGAATACTCAGTGTGCCTTGGTGCTCAGTCTTGCTTTTTAATAGGAACCAACTAGTCAGGGCTCATTTCTTCCCCTAAGGCTGAGCTGCTGAGCCCTCTGGTGTTCCTCTGCTTTCCTGGATCAGTGGGGCTGCTGCATGCCCATCAGTCTTGAGAGAACTGTTTGCTCCACCTCCCTTGCCTTTCCTGAAGTCCCCAAAATGTGGGGTCAAGCAGCTGTCAAGCCAGGCATCTCAGTGTCCCTCAGGAGCTAACGTGAGGCTTGGTTCCTCTGTTACCAGATGACAAATGAGGCCTGGACACTTTCCTTCAGATGCCAGTCACATCCTGATGTCCTTCCTGTGAAGTTCTATTTCCTGTGGAGAGCCTCCCCTTCCAGCTGTGACATGGGATGGTGTAGGACATAGGATGGTAGTGTCTGCCTCTGGGTGGTGGGAGACTGCCTCAGCCGAGGTTTATTCAAGTTGCTTGGTTTGGGAGCTGCACTCTAGTCTTGAGCAGTTTCACTGGTGGTGGAGGGTTAGCAAGGAAGCAGCTTGAGGGCAGAGCCTATGCCCCCATCCTCTCCTCTATGATCTACTTCCTGGGCAGCTGTGAGGACTAGCTGAGATGGGCAGTGCTCATCTTCTACCTGACACAAGGTAAACTGCCCCAGCAGGGGAGCTTGTTGGGCCTTGCGGGGGTTTCCTTCTTTCCACTAATGTCACTAAACTGAAGCAGAGAGCCTTCCCAGCTGCCTGGTGAGTTCACTGGGTCATAAGATCACCCTGGGCTCTGGAGAAGGCTACAGGGAGCTGTCTGTGAAGTGAGCTCAGTTAATTTGTTTACTTGGTTCATTTATTTATAAATAATGGGGATTGAACCCAGGTGCTCTACCACTGAGCTATACTTCAGCCCTTTTCATTTTCAGAGGGATCTCACTAAGCCGCCCAGGCTGACCTCAAACTCGTGATCCTCCTGCCTCAATCCCACAAGGACAGAGCCCTCATGATCCCATCACTTCCCAAATGCCCCATGTCTCAACATCACTGCATTGGGGGCCAGGCCTTCAACACGTGAACCTTTGGGGAACATACCAAAGGCTAAACCAGGGATTTTATTTTTTGCAGTACCAGGGATGGAACCCAAAGTCTTGTGCATGCCACCTAAGCACTTTACCACTGAATCACACCCCAGTCTTTTAAAAATTTTGAGCTGTGTCCATTTTCTTCTCCTTGATCTTTGTTATATAAAATGCATACCTGTAATCCCAACTACCCAGAAGGCTAAGGCAGAAGGATCGCAAGTTCAAGGCCAACGTTGGCAATTTAGCAAGACCCTGTCTTAAAATAAAAAAGGCTGGCTGGGGTCGGGGTATGGGGTGAGAAGGGGGGTGATTTAGAGGTGTCCAAACAGGCCTTGCTTCAACCCAGCTTTCACCTGGAGACTTAGCTGGCCTTGAGCTTGTCTCTGAGATTTGTTGCCCCCCAAGCCTGAAGGAGCTCCAGGGCAGATGTGCATCTTCTCCAGGAAGGGGTGCCAGCCTGGGAGTCAAGAGGGAGCTGCACCACACTTTTTACCTGTTTATTTGTAAAACAAGACCTTCAGGGTGGGGATACAGCTCAGTTGTAGAGCGCTTTCCTAGTGTGCATGAATCCCTAGGTTTGATTCCCAGTACCCACTCTGCCAAATAAAAAACAACAAAAAACAAACACAGGAGCCTTCAGACTGGTACATGTTTGTACCATTTCCATTTTTTTGACTATACTTTTCCTTTGTAATCTGAAAAATGCAGACAAAAAAATTAATTTGTTGAGGAAGCTAAGGCCCAGCATGTACTGAATGGCAACACTCAGGACTTTGGTGACCTACTGTAGATCCTCTCTGCACTGCTCATCTGGAGAGAACAAGAGCCCAGTTAGCAGGAAGGCCAGAAACACAGACTCCCTGGCTTGCACGGATTTTGGAAGGAACTTTTCAGGTCTAGTGCACGCGAGATGGAACACCACCTCCTAGCATAGACACTGGCGTCTGAGGTAAGGGTGGGTGCAGTCTGCCCCTGATATGAATGGCTAACAGGAAGTGGTGAGCAAGATTCTAGTCCAGGAAACCTGGCTGCTAAACAGTACAGTACAGTAGAACCTGAGCATTTGAATTTGGCTACAACAGACATGAGAGGAATGGCAGGTGAATTTACTGCAGAGGACAGTATGGTCTTTACCTGGCAAAGTTACAGGCCCCAGTCCTGCTGGGCACCACTTATTTTTAATTCCAGCTGCTCCAAGATCAGTGCATACCAGGGATAGGTAATTGCTTTGATCACTACACTTGTGGGGTTTGTTTGCCCTTATTTTCTCAGCTGTCTGTGGGGTGGGTCACCAAAGGCTGTGTATAGAGTCAGGCTTCCTCTTCTCCAGGAGATGGCAGGGAACCAATCATGTAAGCTGTTGGAGCTCTGAGATGGAGACATGAGGTCAGAGACTAAGTTTTAAGGCAATATCAGCTGCTTGGCAGGGGGAAGGGACTTAACCTGTGGGAGCCAAGATTTCCCTCCATAAAGGGACAGAAGAAGCTGCCCAGTAGAAAAATGGGAGGTTGAAACCACTGTGTGTGAAACCCTTCCTGGCTATTGCCATCAGGAAGGGTTTCACACACAGTGATTTCAACCTCCCACATTTCTGCTGCCTCACTTTTCTTGGTGGGGCCCAGTGAGGAGGTCATTTTCTTCTCCTTGATCTTTGTTATATAAAATGCAAATAGGAAATAATGTTCAGTACAAGTATAAGAATATTTCAAACAGAAAAAAGAATCTTTCAATCCTCCTGGAGGGGAAGGGGACAGGACAAGTTTCTGGTTGCACTGAAGACTGCTACTCTGAGCGTGCCACTGAGACATGGAAACTCCTTAACAGGATTTATTGTTAAGTTTTCACTGTGATTGGGCCCAACTGTAATACTCCACCAAAGAACCTCATGTTGAACAAGAACACCCCATCACAGATGAGAGGAGCCAGGATCTGAGTAGACAAATAGGGCTGGAGGCATAGCTCAGCAGAACATTTTTTTGCCCGGCATGTGAAAGGCCCCAGCCACCCAATGTGGTAAAGGACTTATAAGGAATTATCTTGACAAGATTACACGGTTATGATCTTGGTCATAACCATCATTTTGCGTACCAAATGACCTTGGCATTCATCTCAAACCCTATGGGACACAGTTACTGAGTGTGGCATACTGGCCACTGATACTGGGATTGTTTCTTAATTGATGGTGGATATGTTGTTTTTGAAAAACCCAGGTATATAATGTCCCCTGCTTCTTTCTGCTTTGGGGTTTTGCTGCTGCCATATATCCTGCTTTTTTCCTAAGTTCCTAATAAATTATACTTTGTGCAAGCCTGGATTTGTCAGCCTTTGTCTGTGGTCTTTCAGCACCTTCTGCTTTTGGTGGCTGGTTCTCATACACTGGGTTTTTCCAAAACAGGACCTTCTAGTATTTCTCCAAAGGGGAAAAATGGGGATGTAGCTTGGTGGTAGAATGCTTGCCTAGCATGTATAAAATTCTGGGTTCTACTTCCAGTACTATACAAAAACAAAAATTCTCCAAAGAATATATACAATGGCCAGTAAACACATGGAAGGATGGTCAATTCCACTGGCGAAATGCAAATCGTAAGTGCAATGAGATGCCACTTCATACCCCCATCTCAATGTTGTTATTATTTTTTGTTCCAGGGATTGAACTCAGAGGTGCTTAACTACTGAGCCACATCCCCAGCTTATTATTTATTTTGAGACAGGGTCTCACTAAGTTGCTGAGGGTGGCTTTGAACTTGTGATCTTCCTGCCTCAACCTCCAGAGCCACTGGGATTAGAGGTATGTGCCACTGTGCCCAGCTCAATAAATTTTTTTGAATATTACTGTGTCTAACTTACAAACTTTATTGTAGCTATGTATTCATATGAAAAAACAAAGTATAGGGCTGGGTTTGTAACTCAGAGGTATAGCACCTGCCTAACATATACAAGACCATGGGTTCCATCCCCAATACCACAAAAGTGAAACCCAAATAGCTGGGCTGGGGCTATAGCTCAGTTGGTAGAGTGCGTGTCTCACATGCACAAGGCCCTGGGTTTAATCCGCAGCACCACAAAAAAACAACAACAAAAAATTCCACATAGTATATGTATATAAGATTTGGTACTACTCAAACTTTCAGTCCCCTTATCCATGAGGACTAATATAGTCAACCATAAAAAAAAAGGTACTGATCCATGTTACAATATGGATAAACCACAAAACATTATGCCAAGTGAAAGAAGTCAGATGCAGGTCATACTTATTACTCTATTTATATGGAACATTAGAATTGGTAAACCCACAGAGATAATCAGTAAGGTGGGTGGTTGCCAGAGTCTGGGGTAGAAAAAATAACCACAAACACAGGCCACAACCCATACCTACAGGCTGAGATGCTCTAGAAAACAAGGTCAGAAACCTGCATTTGTAGAAACCCTTGACCCTAATGCCCAGCCAGGGTGCAAAGCCAGAAGTCCCAAGTCCTGAGAAGAATATCAGTTTCTTCACTGACTGGGTAACTCACACCCCATTTCTGCTTCTTTTCTAAACTATACCCAGAGCCAAGCCAGGCATGGTGGCACACACCTGTAATCCCAGTGGCTTGGGAGGCTGAGGCCTTAAGCAACTGAGACCCTGTCTCTAAATAAAATACAAAAAGGGCTGGAGATGTGGCTCAGTGGTTAAGCAACCCTGGGTTCAATCCCTGGTACAAAAAGACAAAGTCAGAGCCAATTTGGCTATGTATCATTCATGAGTGTTTGTGGTGGCCAACAAGGAATAAGGCCATTCCTGGCAAGTGTGGAAAATGGAAAATTAGTGCTCTGAATCTTGGGTTGGTACCTCTGCTCCAAGGGACAAAGTTCGGGGGGGGGGGGGGGGAGAAGTGGGGGTCAGTTCTTACCACATAGTGGTAGGGAGGAAAGGCTGGGCTGGTTGATGGCCACCAGGGGCAGTGGCAGGTGGAGAGCTGTTTCTGGCACCGGATGGTGCTTGTGCTGTCACTCTTAGGACTGTTACCAGATACTCTGCTGTACTGTCAGCAGTCAGAGTAAGTGGGGTTGAATTCTTTATTAAGGCACATGAGCCATGGTATCCTGAATTCTAGGTGAAGCAGAAATGAAGCTTCTGGAGAAATAATGGTAGTAGGAGGGCCACTTCCTGGCATTACAACCTCCTTTCTGGAATGGCTGCAGACAGAAGCCCTGTCCAATTGGCCAGGGCTTGAGTCAGGAGTGCAGCTCCTCACTCAGGCAAAGGCAGCTCTGCAGCACAGTAAGCCATAGTGGGGAACACACAGATGTCATCGGTTATGTCCTCTGCTGCCAGCTTCGCCACCCTTTGCTAGCAGTGACAGTTCTTGGGGGTCCTGGGACAGCTGCCTGACTTCTTCACAATGGCTGTGTGCATTCCTGAGTTCTGGGTAGAGGCCTATGGTCTAGCAGAGCCAGTCTTCTTGAGTGGTCTGACCTTTTGCTTCTTCACATAAAACCCAATTCTAAAACCCATCACTCCTGTTTCAAGGACTGTGAACAGTTAACTACTCTAGTTAACCTGGTCCCTAGTCTGAGAAAGTTGCTCTCTTACCCTGTCCTGCCCTCATCTGTTCTGAGGACAGAAAGGCCGGGTGTGTCCTGGCTGATGGCAAAGACTGCATTTCCGGGGTCTCTTTGCCGTGGACCCTGTGTCTGAGGAGCCAGCTCGGGGTCTTCTGCTCCTAGCTTCTGATCCCTGCGTTCTTCCTCTGCCTCTTGGCCAGGGTAGTGCTGCAAAAGTCCCTGTGGGAAGAGTTAATGGAAGGCTGTATTTAGAACAGACACTCTGAAGTGGCAAGAAATAGAGAGCAAGCATTGGGTTGGGGTTATCCCAATTTTTACATAGGTACACTCCATGGGTCAGACTCCCCATGCTCTATGAAGAACAGCTCCATAATGTTAAGATATGACATTATCGGGCTGGGGCTGTAGCTCAGTAGTACAGCGTTTGCCTAGCATGTGTGAGCCCCTGGGTTCGATCCTCAGCACCACATAAAGATAGATACATAAAGGTACTGTGTCCATCTACAACTGAAAAATATTAAGAAAAAAAAAAAGATATGATGTTGCTTTACATTTCCTGATACCTCTCTCTAGAACCCTAAATTCAGAAGCTGGGGTATAGCTCTCTGGTAAAACACTTGCCTTGCCTATCTAAAGCCCTGGGTTCCAACCTAGCACTGTGGTGGAGTGGGGGGAGTGCTCACTGTTCTAATAAGAGGGCACGAGTGTCACTTTCGTTAGGCCCTTTTTACAGAGACAGAAACCCAGGCAAACAATGGGAAAGGAGCCTATGACCAGCAGCCTACTCCCTACCTTACCTGCAGGTCAGATGTCACTTTCTGTGGCCCTGCCCAAGTCTGAAATGTGTGCAAGGCCATCTCTTCGTAGTTACTTCAATATGAGTTTGGAAATAGGATGGCTGTCTCCAAGCCCCTCAAACGCCAGTTGTGAGTGACTCCAAGTCCTCTGCTTTTTACCCTGCCTCCTGGATTCTTCCTGATATGGTGACATGATAGTCTGAATTCAATTCCACTCCTTTATCAACCAGGAACTCTATGAAAGTAGACCTGGGCCATCTTATAAAGGAACCTGTGGTGGAGTGGCTTAGTCATTGTGGATTTGGAAACCAGATCTGTACAACTCCAAAGCTCCCATTTGGCCTTTGGGTCATTCTCAGATAGATAATTAAGAGTGGCAGTTACTATTCGAAATGCCCTCACATACACCATCCACTATGATCCAATACCTGGGCGTCAGATCTCATGATACCCATTTTCTGGGATGCTGGTATAAGCTGCATGATCCTGGGTAGGTTCCCAGACATCACCAGGGTTAATATGCTCATCTGAAGAAATGAGGCTGATGCTAATGATCTTGCTATAAGGAGAATGGGCTTACATTCCTATCTTGGGCTGTTACAGTGTGAAGTGAAAAAAACTACTTTATTGGTCTGGGCCTCACTTTCCTCATTGGTCAAACTGACATCATAATGTTTGCTGCTGAAACTGAAAGAGGCCTCCTGCAGAAAGTATATTCACCACAGTGCCGGGCACAGTGAGCTATCCAATTTGAGCTACCTTTAATTTGGAATGCAGACTGTGGTTCATCACCTTGCTGCAAGTGATGGGGCAAGGTAGCTGGGCACCCCCTATGGATCCCGCCACTACACTGCCCTGATTCTTCTGTCTCTGAAGTGGAGACCACTGTGGAAACCCAAGCAGAAACCTGCATGCCTTACCTGCCTCCCCTGGGGCCACATTCTCATCAGTCCACTGAAAGAAGCCACATTGCTGTTCTCTTGGCTTGGCACATGTATGGAACTGGCGTCCTTTGTTGGGTCCATCCTTTTGCACAGTCCGTGTGACAGCAGGCTGGTTGCATAGGCAGGATGTGTTGCCATTGCCGCCACTGCCAGTGTCACTGCCACTGCCACTGCCGGGTCTGCTGAACCCACCCAGTGAGCCTGGTGGGCGTCCCAGTGAGCTGCCTGGGGGCCTTGAACTAGAGGTAGGAGCCTCTCCTTCTCCAACATGGCTGCTGTCAGCCCACAGGAAGAAGTTGCAGCTGTTGCTGCTGCATTTATAGAATTGCCGGCCTCGATTGGGGCCCTCCTTTCGGACAGTGAGCAGCACAGCTTCTTGGCCGCAGTTGCAGGTAATGGAGTTGTTTTCACCTGTTGCTGCAGGTGGTGGGAGAGTCTGGATTAGAGCCTTTGAGGTTATAGTCTGTCTGCTGGCAGGAGGCTGCGGCTGGCTGTGCTGGCTGGCGTCCATCCTGTTCAGGGACTGGCTTGCCTGCAGGTAGCCAGAGGGCTGGCTGGCAGGCTGGCTAGCTCTGGGGGGCCCCCGTGAAAATCTCAGGCCCATGATCTCCTTTAGGGTTTCATCACATCCACCAATACAGCCAACAAACTCAAGGGGCATGGTTGGGGGAAGACTGCCACGCTTGAACTTTAACTTCAACCTATTGATGCCAGAGATGAGAAAAAAACATTGATACCCAGGTGCCAGCATCTTCCCCTTGATCCACAGAGGGTACTCTGGCCACAGGCCTTCTATCACCACCTCTCATGCCCCCAGAAGCCCATGGAAGGCACAAGTCACCTTCAGTCTTCACAGGAGTGCAGAGTGGGAAATAGTGCAGATGAAACCAAAGACCCTCAGTTAATCATCAAGTGTAAAGACACCTCTGAAAGGTTCCATTTCTCTACACCAGTGGTTCTCAAAGTATGGTTCCAGGGCCCCTAAGGGTTTACCATTTCAAGGTGAGGTGAAACAATAATAATGCTAAGAAGTTGTGTATAATTTGCTCCCATTCTTCCATGTGTGCCCACTAAGGTTTTTCAGATGTGACAACACATGCAATAATTTAACTGTGGCTGTTGTGGCAGAGATGGGAATCTAGTCTTGCAAAAATGCAAAGAATTCTCTTCATTAGTATTATTATTCCATTTCTGCTTTGGAAAGGAGGTATTTTATCCTAAAATCACTTTTAAAATTTATGTTAGTAAGAAATGCATTTGCTGTATTTCAAAAGATTTCTCCATTTTAATTTCAAATATGGTATATGTTGAAAACATTACCCACAACAAAAGCTTTCTGGGCTCCTTAATGAGCTCCTAGAGTGTGAGGGGTCCATTGGCCAACAGGTTTGATAAACACTGTCTGCACTAGGGCTCTGGGCTTTGTGAAGGAGCCTAGATACCTCATTTAACATGTGAATAATTTCCTGGACCCAATGCCACAGTGATGTCTGGAAAGGTGCCTCTGTGGTTGCTGAAGGATAAGGGAAAGGCTTGTCCATAGACCAGGCTTCCATCAAACCCAGCAGACCTAGGGTTTTATCACATTCATAGTCTGACTGCCTGGGCTGCTGCTGAGCACAGCTGAAGCACAGCAATGCCTGGGCAAGCATTCCCTGGATGCTTCCATTTGGGTTCCCACAGGAGGAAGGGAAAGGTAGTCCTGTGCACACTCCTTGAGAGGCATCTGACTTACCTGTACACAGGGGGTGGCTGACAAACTGAACATACACTCCCGTCTCTGCTAGCCTCTAGCACAGAGTCAGGAAACCATATAGCTGATCGACACTCTGGGAAACCCGTGCAGCTGAGGTAGAACCTGTGGAGAAATGATGGCTAGGGTCAAACCACAGGAATACAGAAGGTGTACGTGAGCTGTCACCATCCACAAGGAAACTCTTCTTCAGTTGATTTAAGAGGACCTTCACTGCCACAACACAATTAAATCAGTCAGGGTCACTCCAGGTGAATCGGGCTGGCACTAAATAATCACACCGACACTGAAAGTACCTTTTTCTTATGGTTCAGTGACGTCTCTTCTGCCCCAGCTCCCACAAGGGAGGCAAAAGAGGCAGGCAAGAGAGAGAGAGAGCACACTTCAAACCATCTCATTTATTGGGGGGAAAGACATTCGAGAAGATTCAACCCAAATAAGGCAAGGGATTGGGTTTCAGGGGGTTGCTTGGTAATGTCTTGCAGTCAGCAGATTTGACTGACATCTTGGAAAGCCACACCCATCTCAGGTGCTGTGTGGGATCAAAGGCAGAGTGAGCAAAAAGGACACATATATCGCACAGCCCAGTCAGAGTAGCAATGTCAGTCCAGTCCCCTCATGTGCTCAAATGCTCACAGCTCACATACACAGACCACGGCTGGCTCGCAACACTTCATTTTTCTGAAGGACATTTAAGTGAATGCAGAGTCACTGACATGAAATGGTTTAGAAAATCAAGCCTGCCTTTGTCCCTAAAACATGAAGCAGCTATTATTGACTCTGCTTTCTATTTAAAAATCTACCACTAACCAAGGTCACACTGTATACCAAATGCCCTGTGCTGGGCAGTCCCACATTCTTGTTTCTTCCTCATGACAACCCAAAATGGTGTTCTGAGCACCTCAGTTTGCCTGTGAGTAAATGGAGACTCGGGATGATCTGGAAACCTGACCAGGGACACACATGAAGTGAGTGGGAGCTAGGCCTGGTAACCCACCTGTCTCAGGAAAGAGCCTTTTCTCTCCAAAACTATACCGCTTATTTTTCCTGGACATTTCTTGATACCTTCCAGTCATGAAATTGAGGGTCTGACTCAGCACCATGCATGTGATTTACTCAATTCCTTAGAGTGTGTCTGGATGTGACCAGCAGAAAACCAGTTATTTAAATGAAAAATTCACAAACTCAGAAATGGGAATTATAGGATAAAATGTTGAGATAATCTCCAGACTTCCCTGGTGATTCTGACAAGCATTCCACCAAGAATGCTGGGGGGGTGGCTGGTGTTGTGGCTCAGTGGTAGAGCACTTGCCTGGTATGTGTGAGGCACTGGGTTTGATCCTCAGCAGCACATAAAAATAAAGAAAGAATCCTGGTAAAAATTCTTTTCCTTTATATTTTAATGATTATGAATCCAACTACCTACTGGTGGCAAAGAAAAAACTACCAGTAGGATTTATCAAGCACTAAACTCTATGCTCAGGTGCTGGTTAAACCTTGAGTGGCACTGACCTCTGTGTTTGTGGACACACAAGCCCTGCCACCCACTTCTGGCTCTGGCCACAGGCATCTGGCTGCTGAGAGCCAGGGTGCCCTTCTTGTCATTAGGCTAGCCAGGTCTCTGGCTGCTGGGCTGGGAAGGGTCAGGGGAAACCACCTTCCTCATTCACACAGTGCTACAGACCCAGGTGAGCAGGGCAGAGTGAAGAAAGGAAGTGGGGAACTAGGATCAAATTCTGCCTTTACTACTCACTATAGCTACCCTACTTAGAACCAGCCCCTCAGCTGGCTGAAGTTCTAGAGTTTGTACTCTTTAAAACATCTGTTTTGTGGGCCTTTATGAAGACTCAATGAGATGATGTCTGCAAAGCACCCTGTATCACATCAGGCAGAGGGACGGTGCAGGGCAAAGCATGACTGCCTGTTTTTCACTTCTTTCACCATGAACTTCCTGCAATGGCCAGCTGCAGGCTTGGGAAAATGGGCCAGACTGGGCAACTGAACCCACTCTGATCAACTACATTGAAATAAAAAGGGAGCTGAGGTTTTAGGCCCAATTCAGAACTAAAATTAGGCAAGAAGAGAGCTGGGGTTGTGGCTCAGTGGTAGGGCATGTATGAGGCACTAGGTTCAAGCCTCAGCACCACATAAAAAAATAAATAAAAATAAGGTATGATGTCCATCTACAAACTAAAACAAAACAAAACAACAACTACACAAGAGAAACTATTTGTTCAGCATCTACCATGTATTGGATAACATGTCTTCACTCTTTTCAAATCCTCACAATAACTCAGCTTTGTTAAACAGGTATTACTGTTCTTATTTTATGGAAAAACAAATTAGGAATCAAGGCAGTCAAATAACTTGTTTTGGGTTACACAGATTATATGTGACAGAAGTGAGACTTGAACTGAGACCCATCTGGATCTGAAGCTCATGTTCCACCATTTGCCAGACTTTGGGTAAATAATGTCTTATTTATAGGGACCAACTACTCTGACTTCCTACAGTACTTCACATCCCACATCACACCCTGCTATCCTGCTAGCTATAACACCTTGCCCAGAGACTGCCAATAACAGGTCTGTCTTTAAATAATAACAAGGACATGAACTGACAGGGCCTTTCGGTACTAGGGGGCTAACACAGCAGGTGCTGCGTAAGCAGAGGTGAAAGCAAAAGTTGGCACTAACCCGCCACTCTTCTTGGTCTTGAGGACCATGTCCCTGTTGCACTGTGGGCACTTCTGGATGGGCTCTGGCATGGCTGGGTAGATCTCTTCTTGCTGGGCCACTTCTGCCCCTTCCCCAAAGTATTGGGACAAGGCCTCATCCAATCTGAAGAAAAGGCAAACACATACAGTGGCCATCAATCAATGCAAAGAAACTTACAACACTCTTATATGTCAAAAACATATATATGTGAGGGGCTGGGGTTGTAGCTTAGTGGTTGAGCGCTTGCCTCGCATACGTGAGGCACTGGGTTCAATCCTTAACACCACCAAAATAAATAAATAAAATAAAATGAAGATATTGTGTCCATCTACAACTAAAAAATAAAAATTATAAAAAAACAAATTAATTAAAGAACATATATGAGCCTAGAACCAGCTGGCCAGGACCACAGGCCTGAGTAGCAGGCAGAGAGGGGACTGAGCTCTCCACTGGCCTGGCTCATGAGATCTCAGCAGACACATGAAAAAAACTATACTGAGTCCAAACACAAACACCAGAAATATATGTCTGCAATTAATGCTAATTTGTGCATCTCTTTTCAAAACTGGTATGAGAGTGATATGAAGGATTAAAAAAAATTCCAAAATTGTCATTGCCTACAATACATGCAAAAGGCGTGTGGTAGTAGTATTTCCCACATACACCATTGTCCAGCAGACACCACTGGGCATCCTCTAATTGAATTCAATTCTGGCACTATCTCCTTGGAGTTAGTGTCAGACTCTAAAGGTTGATGGCTCAGTCCCCAGGACTGTCCCAACTTGAGATGCCAGCTGCAAATTCCAGGTTGTGAACTATGCTTCTGACCAACTGGCTATAAACTGGGCTTCCCATGACCCACTCCTCAAGTTTAATTTTTACATCAGCTTACAGAACTCAGATGAATAGCCATTTGGAAGAGATGCATAGGGTAAGGCATGTGGGAAGGGGGCAGAGCATCTATACTTTCTCTAGGTACGCCATCCTCTCCCACATTTAGCTACTGTAAGCTCTTGGAGGCCCATGTGTGTGCATGTATGTTTTGTGGTATTGGGGTTCAAACCCAGGACCTGAAGCATAGTAGGCAAACACTCAATAAATGAACTATGACCCCAGCTCTGCTTCTATGTTTTTATGGAGGTTTCCTTACTTAGGCAAGATTGATAAATCATTTGCCACTGGTGATCAACTCAACCCTCAACCCCTTTTCTCTTTTCTGCAAATGTATATATGGTGGGGTGGAGCTCAAAGTTCCAATTCTCCAACATTTGGTTCCCCTGACAACCAGCCTCCATCTTGTAGCTCATCAATACACACCCTCCCATCACTCATCTGATTAGCAAACAAAGACACATCATTTTGGAGATTTTAAAAAACAAAATTTTAAGTATATATATATATATACATACACACACAATTATATATTAATAGTTATGTACTGTATATAATTACATATTATATATATTTTATATAAATTATATTATCAAAGGTAGAAACATGTTATTTCTTTTTTGTTTTGAAAACGTTAATTCTTTTTTTGTTGTTGTTTTTGTTTTTTGGTGCTGGGGATTAAATCCAAGGCCTTGTGCATGGGAGGCAAGCACTCTGCCCACTATGCTATATCCCCATCCCCTTAATTCTGTTTTTTTGTACCAGGAATTGAACTCAGGGGCACTTGTCCACTGAGCCACATCCCCAGCCCTATTTTGTATTTTATTTAGAGATAGGGTCTCACTAAGTTGCTTGGCACCTCACTTTTGCTAAGGCTGGCTTTGAACTCAAGATCCTCCCATCTCAGCCTCTAATGTGGCTGGGATTATAGGCGTGTGCCACTGTTCCTGGCTCGAAAACATGTTATTTCTAACAAAACAAACATGCTGTTTACTGAGTGGCTACCTTCAAATGCTCCACAGGAAAAAAATGGGTCATATACTAGCTCTTGGATTTTCTGATTTGAAAGATGGTGCTACCTAATTCAAGATTTAACATCAAGCTGGGTGCAGTGATGCATGCCTATAATCCCAGCAACTCAGGAGGTTGAGGCAGGAGGATCACATGTTTGAAGCCAGTCTCAGTAACTTAATTAGACCCTGTATCAAAAAAAAAAAAAAAAGAAGAAGAAGAAGAAGAAGAAGAAGAAGAAGGTGGGGGGCTGGGGATGTGGCTCAGTGGTAAAGTACCCGTGAGTTCAATCCCCAGTATTCCCCTCCCCTCAAAAAATTTAATATCAAGATAATGGCATTTCTAAACCAACAGTCCAGAATAATTGTTTCTATACTGACAAAACTCTATAGAAAGGAATAAACTAAACCCAGAGGAGGAAAACGAAAGGGGTAGAACCTATATGGTCACTTCCACTCTTCCGTAGGTGAAAAGGCCACTGGTGAAGATGAACCGTGGTTAGCATGCCAAAAAGCAAGGGTTAGGAGTAACTATATCATCTTGTTTCTGCTGAACTGTCTCTATGAACTTCCACTTCTCAGAGGTAGATGGTATGGCCATGGCTTGGGAGCTATAGGACCTTTTGGGCTGGAAGGCAGGGTCTGTACTCACTTCTTTGCCTTAGCCACTGCTTCAATGAAAACCTGCTTGTATTTCTGCACCTGCTGCCTTAGAACCACAAATTTGTCCTTCTTTCCCTCACAGATCAGCTTCAGATCAGCTTCCAGCTCGGCCCGGAGGTCTGGCTTGGACATTTCATAGCCCATAGAATCGTAACCTGTGGGAAACAGCAGTACTCTGTGAGGTCCTGTAAGACAGGCAACCGCAGGGATTTGGGCAATGTGGTCCCCCCTCCTACTCACTGCAAGCTCCCTTCTCTCTTACCTTCCACAAGTCCCATGCCCAGGTGCCCTGGGAGAAACCGCTTGTCTGAGGTGAGCCCAACATACATCCGAGCTTTGATGGTCTCGATGTGCTCTGCGTGAGTTGCATCAGTACCTGGAAGCCATTTCAGTTACTCAGAGACATTAGAGACAATTGCATAGTGTCTGTGGGAACCTCAATCACCCTGGGATCCATTATATACATGGATGGCCTATGCAGGTAAGATAGCTCCATTCATATCTGGCTTACACTAGAAATCACAGTGGAACATTGCTCTCCTGCTCCCTTCCACCCCATCATTCATCAAAGCTGCCAACTCCAGCTTCACAATTTTTTAATTTTGGTACTAAGGATTGGATCCAGGGCATCACATATGTTAGTCAAGTGCTCTACCACTGAGTTACACCCCCAGCCCTTTTTAAGTTTTATTTTTAAATGGTCTTGCTAAGTTGCTGAGGTTTGTTTTGAACCTGTGAGTCTCCTATTGGGATTACAGGTATGTGCTATTGCATCTTGTTACAACTACTCCTTTAATTTCTACTCTTCCTGGGTCAGGATCATGGCTATAATACTGCAACAGTGTCATCTCCCTATTTTTAGTCTCTCCCCCAACCTTTACCCAACCCATTCTAAGCTGTGGCCAAAGGGCTCTTTTAAAATGTAGCTCTGGTCACGAACACCTGTAATCCCAGTGACTCAAGAGGCTGAGACAAGAGGATCCCAATAGTGATACCCTGTCTCAAAATAAAACAGAAACAAAAAGGGCTGGTGATGTAGCTCAGTGGTAAAGCCTCTGGGTTCAATCCCCAGAACCAACCAATCAACCAACAAAAAAGTAGCTCTGCTAATAGGGAAATAATAAAACCTCGGTGAAATACCACTTCATACTCCTTAACTACAGCATAATCAGAAAGACAGATAGCAAGTGTTGGCAAGGATATGAAGAAACTGGAACCCTCACGCACTGCTGGTGGGAATGTAAAATGGTGCAACCATTTCAGAAAATAGTTTGGTGGTTCCTCAAAAAGTGGTGCAGCAATCTCACTCTTAGTTGTATACCCAAGAAAATGGAAAACACACGTCTACACAAAAACTTGTAATGTGACTATCTGTAACATAGTTCATAACAGCAGAACAGTTTTAAGAACCCAAGTGTCTTATCAATTGACAGATAAATACGGTCTATCTATACAATGGAGTAATAAAAAAGACAAAAGTTCTGACATGCTACAACACACACGAACCTTGAGGATATCATGCTAAATAAAAGAAGTTTGTTACAAAAGGCCACACATTGTATGACTCCACTTACATGAAAGGTCTAAAATGGGCAAACTTATTGAGTCAAAAAGATTAGGGATTGCCTAGGGATCAGGGGAGCTAGAAGGAAGAATAGGGAGCGACCGGCTAAAGAAAATGGGGTTTTTTTTGAGGAGATGAAATGTTTTAACCTGTAGTGATAGCTGTACTACATTGTGAATATACTAAAACACCGAGTTTCACATTTTATATACAGTGCTGGGGATCAAACCCAGGGCCTCACACATGCTAGGTAAGTATTCTATCACTGAGCTACACCCCCAGCACTGAACTGTACATTTTAAATGGACAAATTATATAATATATAAATTATGTCTCAATAAACCTCTTAAAATTATTTGCTAAGAACTTGAGTCTATGTGGTTCCCTTATTTAGAAATCTTAGCTGCTCACCATGTGCTAAAATCTAAGACCCTCAGCTGGGCACACAGGGCCTAGCAAAATTGGCTCAAATCATTCTTCATTCTCATCTCCTCCAACCTCTCACCTTACACACTCCCAGCCATAGCTGGCATGTGTTTTCCTGTCCTTCCTCAGGCTTTGCCTAGGCTGGATTTGCCTTCATTAATGAGGAAGTGTCACTATGTGGTTTTCTGATCCAGCTCAAATGCTAGCCCCCTTTCCCTGCCTGCTCCTGTAGAACCTGTCACATTTTGCTGGATTTGGTTTATTTTCTGGTAGACTGTTTTTTTTTTTTTTAACATTTTTTAATTGTCAATGGATATTTTTATTTTATTTTTTTTATTTATATGTGGTGCTTACACATGACAGGCAAGTGCTCTACCACTGAGCCACAACCCAGCCCCACACTGAATTCTTAAAAGGGAAAGATTAGGTTTTAATTTTCTTTGTGTCTCTAGTGCCTGCCACTCACACTAGTTTCAGGGTGATGGCTGCCAGGTCTGATATTTCAAAGAGCGAAGATACAGATTTTGAGGATGAACTTATCATTTTAATTGTTGATAACTTATTTGTTGTTCTTAACCAAAAAAACTCCAAATCCCCACGTAGGCTAATGGTGCTCCCTGATCAGCCTTGAGCCATGGGAAACATCTAGATCACTACACATGTGATGCAGTGTAGGGTTTTTAAAAGCAATGGCTGAAGGATAGGGATGTGTCTCTAGTAGAGCCCTTGCCTAGTATGCAAGAGGCTGTGGGTTCTAATTCTAGCACTGCAAAACAATCAAACTAAACTAAAATTCATTAAAAGCACATTGGCTGTGGAATTTGGTGACCTTAGTACATTCTTAACCTCTCTAGGCCTAGCTTTAACTATTAAATGGGGATATAGAGGTAGCACCTGTGCTGAGAGTAGACTTGGAGCCGCATATACAGTAAGTGCCTGAGAGCTACAAGATCCCCAGGTGAGTTACTGACCAATGCCATGCTTCTCCATGAGGGCGATGAGGTCAGCCTCAGTGAGCAGTTGTGGTGGGCTGGTCTCCCCATCCACCATTTCCACAGTGCTGGGCTGGAAGCGAGAGCCTTGCTCATAGACAGGGAGGAGCTAGAAGAGCAGCAGGCACAGAGATCAGATCACACATACTCAGTCTGGTCCTGCTCTATCAACCAGCATAGGTCTGTAGTTTGACTGTCCTCCCTCTCCCTGGAGCCCACCTCCTTATCACCTTGTCACTCCAGTGATCATAGGGATACACGTCCAGGTAGTTTCGGGCCAGAATCATGAGACCATGGGCCACAAAGCGTTCCTGAGCAATGTCAATCTCCACAGTAGTCTCTTGCCCCTGAGCATCTTGGGAACAGCAGGCTAGAAAATGACGGACGATGAACTCATATAGTCGCCGTTCATCTCCCTGAAGAAAAAGAAGAATCTCTCGAGAACCAGTACCTCAAGGATAGCATCATCATCAATAATTTCAACCTGGTTTATGCCACTGACAGCCATACGCTCTTCAGGCCCTACACCAATGTGAGGCTACGCAGGTCCTTGGGGAGCTGATGGTTTTTGGCTGATAAACCTCACAACCCTATCAGGCAAAAGGCAAGCAAGGGTAGTCATTATTTCCCCAGGCCCAGGATGGGGATTTCTGATGTAGATTCAACAGAAACAAAAATAAGACAAAAGCCTAGGAAATAAGGGTTTCCCTGAAGATAAGAATCACAGAGTAACACTACAGTTGACTGCTCGAGGCCAGCTTCATGCTTCCTTTCAAGCAATGGTTTGTTGGGGTGAATTTGCATCAGTCAGGTAAGCAAGGGTTTAGTGAGGCTAAATCTCAGGTTACATACAAATACTCATGAGATATTTGTATTTATATGTAACAATTCACCTTCTAAGAATTCATTCAGAGGAATCAGGCATGGTGGTACACATAGTGACTTGGGGGCTAAGGAAGGAAGATCTCAAATTCATGCCAGCCTCAGTAACTCAGTGAGACCCTGTCTCAAAATAAAATTTAAATAGGGGGCTGTGAAGATATAAATCAGTGGTAAAGCACCCCTGGGTTCAATATTTTGTACCTGCCCCCCAAAATTCATTCATTCATTCATAAGGAAATAATTGAGATCCACACAAATATTTATGTATAAATATCAAAAAGTTAAAAACTTAAAATCTTTTTTTTTTTTTTTTAAATATGTATTTATTTATTTTTAGTTTTCGGCGGACACAACATCTTTGTTTGTATGTGGTGCTGAGGATCGAACCCGGGCCCCACGCTTGCCAGGCAAGCGCGCTACCGCTTGAGCCACATCCCCAGCCCCAAAACTTAAAATCTTTAAAAAAAAAATATATATATATTTTTAGTCGTAGATGAACATAATACCTTTATTTTATTTATTTATTTTTAAGTTGTGCTGAGGATTGAATCCAGTGCTTCACATGTGCGAGGCAAGCGCTCTGCCACTGAGCTACAACCTGGGAACTTAAATCTTACATACAGATTTGGCAAAATAAATTATGGGTCATTTGTGTAATACCTATCTATCTACATCTATCTACCTACCTATACTTATTCTGGGTATTGAACCTAGAGCCTTGCAAATTCTAGGCAAGTACTCTACCACTTACTACATCTCCAGTGTTTTATTTTTTTGTACTGGGGACTGAGCCCAAGGTGTGAAACCACAGAGCCACATCCCCAGCCCTTTATTTGAGATAGGGTCTCACGTAAGTTGCTAAGGGCCTTGCTAAGTTCCTGAGATTGGCCTCTCAACATATGTTCCTCCAGCCTCAGCCTCCTGAATAGCTGAGATTATAGGTGTGTGCCATTGTGCCTGGACCCAGCCATTTTCATTTTATTTCGAGTCAGGGTCTCCCTAAATTGCCCAGGTTGACTTCAAACTTTCAATCCTCCTGCCTGTCTTCTCAGTAGATAGATTACGGTGTGTGCCACCATGACCAGCTTATATGTTACACTTTAAATACTGTTGCATATGAGGAATGCTCATAATATAGTACTGAAATTTTTTAAAATATTTTTGTAGTAGATGGACACAATACCTTTAATTTTATTATTTTTATGTGGTGCTGAGGATCAAATCCAGTGCCTCATGTGTGCTAGGCAAGCACTCTACCAACTGAGCTACAACCCCAGCCCCTAAGAAGTTTTTATAAAGCTATACGAGATTATACTTTTATTATTATATTATAATATAATCAGGTGCTGAAAAATCAGGTTCTAAGTAGAGGGCAGGATTACAGATAATTCTTTTCTTCTTTCTTATCTTCTGTGTTTGCTAAAGTGTCTAAAATAAACATGTGGTACTTTTATTTTGTGGTGCTAGGGATTATACTCAGGGCCTTGCAAAGGTACTTTTTAAATTGGAAAGAATATGTATTATTAAAAAAAGAACAGGTAGGGGTTGGGGTTGTGGCTCAGTGGTAGAGCGCTCGTCCAGCACGTGTGAGTCCCTGGGCTCAATCCTCAGCACCACATATAAATAAATAAATAAATAAATAAATAAATAAATAAATAAAATAAAGGTACTGTTCAACTACAACCAAAAAATAAATATTAAAAGAAAGAGGGACTGGGGTTGTGGCTCAGTGGTAGCGTGCTTGCTTAGCATGCATGAGGCACTGGGCTCGATCTTTAGCACCACATAAAAATAAAGACAATAAAGTCCATCAACAACTAAAAACATATTTAAAAAAAAAAGAAAGAAAGAAAAAAGACCAGCCAGGTATGGTGGTGCACATGTATATACTAGCAACTCAGGAGGCTGAGGCAGGGGGATTATAAGTTCAAGACCAGACTGGGTAGCTTAGCAAGACCCTGTCTCAAAATGTAAAATAAAAGGAGAGGGGAAGGAGCTCAGCAGCAGAGCATTTGCCTGGTAGGCATGAGGTCCTGGTTTTAACCCCCAGTACGGCCAAAACAAAGAATGAAAAAAAACAAAGTTTACTTAGTGGCAGATGCCAAATAATCCTTCATAGTTGTTGCCTACATAGTGATTACTCCCCAGCTGAGGAAATGACTGAATCACTGAATGGCTGAGCAGAGAGAGGTGAGTGTGAAATGTTGGAGAGACTGCAGTAAGCAGTGGTAGGAAAGGTTCTGAAAGGCTGTGAAAACAGGTCCAGTCTTGGAAGATGGTTAAGGCTTTTTCTAGGTAATAAGGGACCAGCAAGGTCAGGAGACTAGTAGGGGTATGGAGGCTATGCCAGGGCATGGGGGAAGGTAGGTTGCCATATATGCGTCCATATGAGGGACTAGTGAAAAAGCAACAGAGCTGACGGAGAATGGAGCCTACCATGGGGGGGCTAGTGGGGTGGGGGGTGGTCTTTTGTGAAAGCCAGGAACAAGACTGTGTCTAACACTGCCTTCTCTTTTTTGAAATGAAATAGATAGTTCAACATCACTTATTTTCCAAAGTCAGAGCCTGGAGAACAAATTTGAATCATACTTTGATCCTCAGCACCTGTCTCTGAGTTTCAGTAGGTTGCACACTCAGGGAAACAAACCTGTAAGTTGCTGGTGTACTTGGTGGGATGGATGGGAGGGTGAGCTTGATCAGACTTGTTTCCGTTGCGTGGGGTGGGGCCACCCCGCTCGAGAATGCTCTGGGCAAAGGCCCCCCAGTGTGGATCTGGGGTCTGCTGTTCCACCAGTGCCATCAAGTTTAGGTCTTTGGGGAAAATATTTGTTTCTGTTCGGGGATAGCTGATGTACCTAAAAGAAAAGTAAACAAATGAAAAAGAAATTGCTAAACTCTTCAATGGTCTGTAACAACTCCAAGTCCCAGAACACACCTGCAATCACTGATCTAATATAGCCAGTTCAACTGGAGAGCACTTAGGTGACCTATGCTGAACAAAGGTCAGAGGTGGGATCCCCATTCAGGGTGGAAAAGCAGTAATCTTTCTTGCTGAATCATTTTGAGAAGCCAAAGGAGACTCGAAAGGGACAACATAAGGCAGGATAAAGGCCCAGGACTCTGCAACAGCCTTATGGCCTGGGGGACTTCACTGACCTCTTAGGGCTGGTCAGTCTGACCAAAACAAAAAGGGATTTCAATTTATTTTTTGGTTCTTATATTAAAATGCTTTTTCTGTCAGAGTGACATCTAAACAGTATGTTATAAGCTATATTTCTAAAATATTCCATGTTGATAAAGATGCACCAAATTCTATTGTCAAATACAGAATATTTACCCTTGAGTGTAGAGCTTTTCAGCAATCCTCATGGTTTCCTTAGCATTTATTTTCAACTTGCGAGAAGCCAGCTTCTCCAGCTCCTGTTAAGAGGGTCAATAGGCACGTTAAGGTATAATGTGTGTCAGGACCTGCCAGACTGCATGTTTCATCTTTAGGCAGGTCTGGCTCCTGCAACTCCAGCTATTGCCATCATGCTGAGAGGGAAAGACTGTGCCCAAAGAAGATTTCTGAGACTTCCAGGCAGATCCCAGCTAGTAGTTCTCTGATGTGTGATCATAAGACTTTCCAGGGGAGGTAGATGATTCAAAGGTCTAACCACCAGGAAATGTGATAAAAGTAGGCTGTGATAGAGGCCGAAATCTGCATTTTTAACCAACAGTCTAACAAACTGATGCTAATGTATAGCAGTCTGAGAATCATACTTTGGAAACTACCATTTGAGGGGCTGGGGATGTGGCTCAAGCGGTAGTGCGCTCGCCTGGCATGCGTGCGGCCCAGGTTCGATCCTCAGCACCACATACAAACAAAGATGTTGTGTCAGCCGAAAACTTAAAAATAAATATTAAAAAATTCTCTCTCTCTCTCTCACTCTCTTAAAACAAAACAACAACAACAACAAAAAAAACCAACTTTCTCTCTTTAAAAAAAAAAGAAACTACCATTTGAGTCCCAGGAAATTGCCCTGGAGGATAAAAAGCATCCTTTAATGCCTCCTTGGGAATAACCAGCTGTTCTTTTCCCTATGTGATACCCTGACAATGCTGCTGATAAGTCAAAGCACATATAAACAGCCAGGAATAAAACACACACTGAGTACATGAAAAAATGCTCACCATCTCTAGCAGTCAGAGAAATGCAAATCAAAACCACCCTAAGATACCATCTCACTCCAGTAAGATTGGCAGCCATTAGGAAGTCAAACAACAATAAGTGCTGGCGAGGATGTGGGGAAAAGGGTACACTTGTACATTGCTGGTGGGACTGCAAATTGGTGCAGCCAATTTGGAAAGCAGTATGGAGATTTCTTGGAAAGCTGGGAATGGAGCCACCATTTGACCCAGCTATTCCCCTTCTTGGTCTATTCCCTAAAGACCTAAAAAGAGCATGCTACAGGGACACTGCTACATCGATGTTCATAGCAGCACAATTCACAATAGCAAGACTGTGGAACCAACCTAGATGCCCTTCAATAGACGAATGGATAAAAAAAATGTGGCATTTATACACAATGGAGTATTACTCTGCATTAAAAAATGACAAAATCATAGAATTTGCAGGGAAATGGATGGCATTAGAGCAGATTATGCTAAGTGAAGCTAGCCAATCCCTAAAAAACAAATGCCAAATGTCTTCTTTGATATAAGGAGAGTAACTAAGAACAGAGTAGGGACGAAGAGCAGGAGAAGAAGATTAACATTTAACAGGGATGAGAGGTGGGAGGGAAAGGGAGAGAGAAGGGAAATTGCATGGAAATGGAAGGAGACCCTCAGGGTTATACAAAAGTACATACAAGAGGAAGTGAGGGGAAAGGGAAAAATAATACAAGGGGGAGAAATGAATGACAGTAGAGGGGGTAGAGAGAGAAGAGGGGAGGGGAGGGGAGGGGGGATAGTAGAGGATAGGAAAGGCAGCAGAACACAACAGACACTAGTATGGCAATATGTAAATCAATGGATGTGTAACTGATGTGATTCTGCAATCTGTATATGGGGTAAAAATGGGAGTTCATAACCCACTTGAATCAAAGTGTGAAATATGATATATCAAGAAATTTGTAATGTTTTGAACAACCAACAATTAAAAAATTAAAAAAAAAAAAAAACACACGCACACACTGAGTATAGCTCAGTGGTAGAGTGCTTGCCTAGCAAATGCTTGTCTTGTGTGGAAAAATAAACAAAACCCCAAAACAAGCTACTCCATTATAACGCTATAAAAATATACACATAAAGAATAAGAAGAGCAGGGTATGGTGGGGCACACCTGTAATCCCAGTGGCTCTGGAGGTTGAGGCAGGAGGATCACAAGTTCAAAGCCAGCCTCAGCAATTCAGTGAGGCCCTATCTCAAAATAAAAAATAAAAAGTGGCTGGGTATGTGGCTCAGTGTTTAATCACCCCTGGTTCAATCCCTAGTGTTAAAAACCACCACAACAAGAGAAGACATCAAAATTATGTCACTGACTACATAAGGATGGCAAGATTATGGGTCATTTGTCATTTTCTTTCTGTTTCTCCAAACTCATATAATGGAGTTATACTGTATTTATTAACTTTAAAAACAAAAAGTCCAGGTGAAGAAAGCCCATGCCTTCCCCAAGTGATCTTCCTTCCACTGCCCATGCAGAATCTGTCCCAACAATATAAAATGACTGTTCTCCAGTGCCTAGAATAGTCTGTCTGTAACATACCACAGTGTCCAATGCTTGAGGCCTCCACTTGCTCTTTGGCTTAGACCTGATCTCCACCACAGTTGCCAGGGGATCCTAGAAAGCCAGGAGAACAAAGACCACATTAACCTAGAGGTGTGTCACCTGCAGCCTGTTTGTGACAGCCCCTTCCTACCATTCCAGATCATAGTGACTGCCAGCAGAGGGCTCAGCCACAGCTTAAGAGACGCCCCCATTTAATGTCAATCATATTTGACAGTGTGGTGGACACCATTATCCACTTCCTACTCAAACCAAGATTCTGAACAGCAATTTTACAAGCCTTCAAAGATGACAAAATACCAGTCTATTCATCTCCCAAGTTCAGTTTTATACCTACCTATGCATAATATTACTTTTTTAAAAAATTCAGGATAATATAGAATTAGAAATAGGAAAAACCAGACAATAGAAGCAATAAAATGAAAAACCAAATTCACATTTCCAACAGAATATAAAAGAATATAAGGAACTCAGCTGAAGTGATTTGCTAATGAAGATATTTATATATCACAAACCAAGTTTCTTCCTCCCAATAGACTGGGGACAGCTGCTCTTTTTAAGGGGCTCAAAGTATACCACATGTCAAGTATTTCTGCAGAACATTTTATGAAGGTGCAACAGACATACTGGGATCCAATCTAATGGCTAGTGCTCTGCCATTCAATAACTCTAGTGTGTCCATGAGCAACTCACTTCAATTTCTCTAGCTTCCTTCTCTGTAAAACTGGGATGACATAACTATTTTCACAATATTATTAGGATTGAGCAAAATAACATTTAATGAAGTGGTACATTCAAGTGCTTAATAGTTATCATTCCTTTTATCAAAGTATTAATAAACCTGCCAGAAGCATACCACAAATTATTAAACATAGACATATCTGCATTTCACTTAGGCATCACTGTGTGCAGGCTGTGGGTTAAACTGTGCAAAGAGGTGCTGACCTATGGGAAGTGACATCGCATAGTGGACAATACTTCTGAGGAGCAGGAAAGTGAAACTGGGGTCTCAGTTCTATCATGACTGGCATGAGACATGAGTTGGTTGTGATACTTTGCAAGTGCTCCTTTTCCTATGAGACACATTTTTCCTGTTCAAATGTCACTTCTTAGAGAGGCCTTTCAAGATCACTTCATCTAGAATAGTCCCTGCCAACCATATGTGTCAGGGAGGGATTTTAGTTGTATACATCTCAAAATTGCTAATTTTTTTTTTTTTTGGTACTGGGAATTGAACTCAGGGGCACTCAACCACTGAGCCACATCCCCAGCACTATTTTTTTTGTATTTTATTTAGAAACAGGGTCTCACTGAGTTGCTTAGCGCCTTGCTTTTGCTAAGGTTGGCTTTAAACCTGCAATCCTCTTGTCTCAGCCTCCCGAGCAGCTGGGATTATAGGCATGTACTACGGTGCCCGGCCCTCAAAATTTCTAATTTTATCTAAAAGTTCTGCAGATATTCCCCTTGTACATTTTTAGTGCTATTTCCTGGGGTTCTGGTCTTGCTGGCTTCCAAAAAGTGATGATGCCCGGAGATGCGAACTTAAAGCCAATACAATTCAGGGGAAGAATGGAACAGGTTCACTGCTGCCAACAGGAGGGTATGGCTGAGGAAGTGTGCAGAATGTTTCTTAGATCATTAAACTCTCGTGGGACTCCTTACCTCCATACATAATTGATAGAGGACAAGACAAGCTGTGTGATTAAACAGACGATGTCTTTTCCAGTTGAATTCTACGGTACCATCTTTGTGATCATGAGTTACTATTTGGAAGATAAATAGAAAGGCTGTCTCAGAGAAAGCACATGATATGACAGACAGAAAAAGGTGTATCACAGTACAAATCAAAGGAAGATAAAATAGGGAAGAGTTCTGCAATTCACAATAGCTAAACTGTGGAACCACCCTAGATGCCCTTCAATAGATGAATGGATTAAAAAATGTGGCATTTATACACAATGGAATATTACTCGGCAATAAAAGAGAATAAAATAATGGCATTTGCAGGTAAATGGATGGAGTTAGAGAAGATAATGCTAACTGAAGTTAGCCGATCTCTAAAAAACCAAACGCTGAATGTTTCTCTGATATAAGGAGGCTGACTCATAGTGGAGTTTGGAGGGGGAGCATGGGAAGAATAGATGAACTCTAGATAGGGCAGAGGGGTGGGAGGGCAAGGGAGGGGCCAAGGGGTTAGAAATGATGGTGGAATGTGATGGATATTGTTATCCAAAGTACATGTATGAAGACATGAATTGATGTGAATATTCATTGTATACAGCCAGAGATGTAAAAAATTGTGCTCTATATGTGTAATAAGAATTGTAATGCATTCTGCTGTCATATATTAATAAAAAAATTAACTAAAAAATAAAATAAAATAAATAAGGAAGAGTTATGGATAACTAAGGAAACCAGTGGATTCTGAATACTGTAATGGGGCAAGGTGAAGGGCAGCAAGGCTTAAAAAACAAACCCTCCCACTTAATTAATGTTATTAGCACTTTCTTGTTATTCCTGGGCTTGTAGGTTTCATATATAAACAATAACCCCCCAACTTTACCTTTAATCCTGTGGAAGATTTCTGGCACAAAAGCCTGAATGGCTTTGAACCTTTCTACCACGAACCCCAGTGTCGGGAACTGGCAGCTGCCATAGCTAATGAGCTGCTCTGCCAGCACCTCAGGAAAAATCTTCTGAAGCCGCAGGGTCTGGAATCTAGTGAAGGCAGCTCCTGGACAGTGAGAGCAGATGGGATGAAAGAGGAAGTGATGGATGATGAGATAATTTTGGATCTATGACCCAATACTAGCGTGCCTCAACATGGAAGAGTCCATGGCTCCTCACCGATCCTTAGGTCCAGCTCCTGCCTCACATCCACAGCATCACTGACTCTTTGATCAGGCTCAGTCAGGTTTTCACAGGCTGTCCTGACAGCACGTGGTGTGATCTCAGAAAAACGGGCTCTCAACACTTGTAGACCAGGCTTCACTGTACAACACAAGGGTCACCAAGGTCAAAATCAAATTACACTGCACTCATTGCAAAGGGCTCACTTTTCCTAAACCACCTTCTTGAAAGGCAAACCTGTTCAAGAAGTTGTAAGTAGTCCACTTCACATATTAGTTTAAATTAGTAAGAGGGAATTCAAATTCAAAGAGGGAAACATGCTAGGTAGGTGTGGTTGGGCAGGCCTATCACCCCAGTGACTTCGGAGGCTGAGGCAGGAGGATTGGGAGTTCAAAGTCAGCCTCAGCAACTTAGTGAGACCCTGTCCCAAAGGGTTGGGGATGTGGTTCAGTGGTTAAATGCACCTGGGTTCAATCCCTGCCCCCTCCCGAACAGAAAAGGGAAACATCATTATAACCTGTAACTGGAGTACTGCCAGAAAAAAGAGCACGGTCAATTTTAACTAAAATTCTCTAGGTGGGGCTTTTTTTTTTCTTTTTTTTAATATTTATTTTTTAGTATTTGGCGGACACAACATCTTTGTTTGTATGTGGTGCTGAGGATGGAACCCGGGCCGCATGCACGCCAGGCGAGCGCGCTACCGCTTGAGCCACATCCCCAGCCCTCTAGGTGGGGCTTTTAAGACTTTATTTTTACTTGCTCTTTAGGTCTGTAGAGAAAAGAAAAACACTGTCAATCAAAGGGTCCTGTGGGGGGAATTTCATGTCCCTTCAGAAAAGAACATAGGAAATATACTTTTTCCCTTGAAAGTTAATGTATTTAAATTTTCAGAAGCCATCAGAGCTTTTTTTTTTTTGGTATTAGGGATTGAACCCAGGGGCCCTTAACCACTTAGCCACATCCCCAGCCCTTTTTTATATTTTATTTAGAGATAGGGTCTTGCTGAATTGCTAAATGCCTCACTAATCTGCTGAGGCTGGCTTTGAACTAGTGATCTTCCTGCCTCAGCCTCCAAAGTTACTGGGATTATATAGGCATGTGCCACAGCGCCCTGCTCCATCAGAGCTTTTGACACAAATCTCTTAGGGAAAGTAGCAACCTCAACCTCTGAGCCACAGAATGAAAATGAGTTGCTCAACACTTCCTCTAAGTGGAAATATTAACTCTGTTACAGCCATTCAAATTCATGCCAACATTCATCCATTTATTCATTCATATGCAGGGAATGGAATACCATACAGTAGACAAGTGCTCTACCATTGAGCCACATTCTAATCCAACAATGAATACTCAGGCATTGTACAAAGAATATGGGAGATTAAAAAAGCAGAATGTTTTTAGGATTTCTTTATTCTTTAGTTATGGTAAATGCATTTTTTGGCACAAATTCAATATACAATTTTAAGAAATACAGCCTGTAATCCTAGAACCTTAGAAGCTGAGGCAGGAGGTTCGTGAGTTAAAAAAGCCAGCCTCAGCAAAAGTGAGGTCCTAAACAACTCAGTGAGATCCTGTCTCTAAATAAAATATAATAGGGCTGGGATGTGGCTCAGTGGTCAAGTACCCCTGAGTTCAATCCCCGGTACACACACACACACACACACACACACAAAAGGAATACAATACACTATTTGCTGACTCATTCTTACAGCAGTCCTAGGAAGCATGTCAGATTGCCCTGACACTGAATATGAGGAAGCTGAAGATTCAGTGACTTGCTCAAGGAACACAGCTGGTGTAATTCCCATTGCTTTGCGAGGAGAAAATATATGTAAAAGAATATGGCCCACTTGTATGGAGATATAGAAGAATTCTCTATTTGGGAGCCCCCCAGCAGAGAACCTCAATAGCAGCAGACTTACCAGCCTTGCACACATGGATAATCTCAAACCCAATGTTTTCACCTTCTCTGTCACAGTCAGTCCAGATCACTAAGGCCTGACACTGCCGCGTTTCTCGTTCTAGAGTTTTCTAAAGTTAACAGGGGGAAAGAGCAGTAAGAGCAGAATCTAGAGCAGTTACTTGATACTTAAAGAGAACTGACTGAGGATCAGTGCTGTTCTTGGGAGTGTGCCACCCTTTATGAGTGGTCACAGAAAACTGCTCATACCAAAGCTACTGATGATGTTCACCAGTACTATCCTCCAGACTCATAAATGAGTTTCTAGAAAACCAAGGGTTTAGTTGAACTTCACTAAATACAATAACACCTACAACTTAGCTCTAATGCACACTTCTACCTCTAGTGGTTCTAATTATATGCTGGTTAAGAAAAATTAACTTGATTTTCATCTAAGGTTTCTCAGTTAGTGGTGAACTACCTACAGCCCTGAACTGACAATCACTGCCAAATGACTTATACTTTGTAGCCTCTTTAGTCTATTCTAGGGCTGGAACTAACACTGGAATTAACAATTCAACAAAACTTACTCTAAACACCTACTATTCATAAAAAGCTTACTTCATCCTTTGGGTGCTTAGTTAAAAAGGCTTCATTTATACAATGGGTGGAAATAAATAACTTTTTAAATCATGATAGGGAGTTTGGAGCAAAACCTTACATCCAAATTCAAATGCATTAATACAGAAATGGGGGCTGGAGTTGTGGCTCAGTGGTACAGTGCTTGCCTAGCATGTGTGAGGCCCTGGGTTCTATTTTTCACACTGCATATAAATAAATAAAATAAAGGTCCATCAACAACTAAAAAAAAAATACAGAAATGACTGTGCAATCCACTTGTGGTAGTTCCAACTTTTTTGCCACATGTCTTCTAAAAGTCCCTACCTTGATGTCTATAAAATTCTCTGGGCAGTACTTTTCAATTTCAGCTTCAAAGAGGACTAGGGGGTTGCAGCTCTGCCTGGAAAACAAACAAAAGCACAAGGAGTCTTACCTTAGCACTAACGGTAGAGTCCTCTACTCTCATAAGAATGTACCACTCCAATGGGATCACTGGTGGATCCCCAAAATGGCTCAGAGAAGCATGGCATGGTGGTATGTACTATAATTTAGCTACTTGGGAGGCTAAGGTAAGAGAATCACTTGAGCCCAAGAGTTTGAGACCATTTTGGGAAACATAGCAAGACTCCATCTTGGGGGGGGGGGAGGCCTAGAGTTAAATGCAAAGCTATTTCTCTGCACAGACCACTGTTCACTCTTCCACAAAGATGAGCTGATAAGATATTTTGGAACCCTTTCATGCATATGTGCAACAGGATAAATGCAGTCCAATGACTGCATGAGAGGGTCTGTTTTGGGGGAACACCTAAGAGTGGTTATTTATTCTAAAGATATTTACCCTGAATCAGATAATTCCAGGTCACTTTAGTATGATAAATTACACAGTAACATCAACATACCTCAAAATTCCTGTTTTTTTTTTTTTTTTTACAATTTACTGTAATAATCAGAAAGTGCTTCCCCTAGAAATTATACTGACCATTTTCGAAACTGCATCTGGAAATCATGAGCCAGTAAATGCCCAGAAACTGAAGTCATCACCATGGTAACACTCTGAATGATAACAAAATTCAAATTAATCTTTTTGTTACTTACATTTTGCCATACAGTTCAAGTCAAAAGAAAAAACTTCTATTAAAGAAAACACAAACAAAACAAAAGCAAAAAAAAAAACACATTGACTGGCAGGGCTGGGGGTGTAGCTCAGTGGTAGAGGGCTTGCCTAGCATGTACAAGGCCCTGGGTTCAATCCCCAGCACTGCAAACAAAACAAAACACAGCCCCCAAATCCCAAACTAAAAAACAGTTGACTGGGAAGAAACAAACATATACAATAACTCTTCAAATCAAAAACTATAGTAAGATAATCACCACTCTAATTGTAGTATCACAACACCTTATGTATCATTTAAAGTTTTGTTACTTAGTGGCAGGGTGCTTGCCTAACATGCATGAGGCCCTGGGTTCAATCCTTAGTTACTACATATACACAAACAAAAAAACAAAAACTCCTCGTTTATTAGCTTCTTATAAAACAGATGAGAAGGGACCATATGCTATTAAAGCAACTTTCTTATAAGTTATAAAATATCACCTTTAACCACGAACCCTTAGGTAACAAAATTTAATTCTTTTTTTGGTGGTACTGGGGATTGAACCCAGGACTCTGAACACTGAGCTACATCTCCAGCCCTTTGTTTTTCATTCTGTTTTGAGACAGGGTTTCACTGAACTACCCAGGCTGCCCTTCCATCTCAGCCTCCTGAGTAGCTGGGATTACAAGTATGCACTACCACACCCTTAAAAGAAACACACACACACACACACACACACACACACATATGATGTAGTAGTAGGGATTGAACCCAGGGGCACTCTACCACTGAACTACATCCCTATCCTTTTTCATTTTTTATTTTGAAATAGGGTCTTGCTAAACTGCTAAGGCTAGCCTCATATTTGTAATCCTCTCGCCTCAGTCTCCCAAGTAGCTAGGATTATAGGTATGTGCCACTGCATTCAGCTAAAAAAATTATTCTTAAGACGGTGACATATTTTACATATGGTCAGGCTAATTCTTCTTCACTGATTAAAACATAAGCAATTAGGGAGGATGTATAGTATAGCCATGGCTGAAAACCCAAAGAATATACACCAAAATGGCACATGGACTTGAAACATACCTCAGCTTTATGACAAAAATATTTAGCACCTACCTGTCCATAGAGATGATAGTCAAATTCATAGATCTTGTTGAATTTAGAAAGTCCTTCTCTCTATAAAAACAAAAAATAAGTACAAACTATAAACCACATTAAAAAACAAATGATCATAAGCATAAGGATCAAGCAAAACTCAAATAAGTGGGTATAGTGGTACATGCTTGTAATCCCAGTGGCTCAGGAGGTTGGGTTAGGAGGATGGTGTGTTCAAAAAGCCTACCTCAGCAAAAATGAGGCGTTAAGCAAGTCAGTGAGACCCTGTCTCTAAATAAAATACAAAATAGGGCTGCAGGTATGGCTTAGTGGTTGAGTGCCCCTGAGTTCAATTCCTGGTACTCCCCCAAAATAAACAAATTAAAAACTAGGCTAAATTACCCCCTGCCCCCCAGGACTGAACTCAGGACTTCAAGTGCACTCTGCCACTAAGCTAAATCTCCAACCCCTGGGCTAAATTACTAACAGCTTTTTTTTTTTTTCAAGACAGGGTATTGCTATCCTGAGTCGCTGGGATTATAAGATGTGTGCCACTGTGTTAGGCTAGAATCCATAGAATTTTTATTCTGGAAAGTAAGCTTGAGGTCAGCTAATATAACATCTTCTCAGAGATGAGAAAGGACTTGTCCAAGGTCACATGACAAATTAATGGCATTAAGTGCTCTCATTCAGACAAAGTCTCTTGAACATTTTTTTATTCTTCCCTCCCCCAATATCTTTGTGATTTCAAGATCATAACAGTGCACCAATAAACTAGTGACCACAACCAAGTCATTCACATTTCTGAATCTCAAAAAAATTTTTCTTAGTTGTCGATGGATCTTTATTTATTTTATGTGGTGCTGAGGATCGAACCCAGTGCCTCACACATGCTAGGCAAGCACTCTACCGCTGAGCCACAACCCCCAGCCCCTCAATTAACTCTTTTTTTTTTTTTTTCAATTTATTCTTGAATAAAGTTATTTCTTTATTTCCCCTGGCTCTGAAATTCAATGACACCATAAGCTGCAACCAAAATCCAACCTATGAAGCACCTCTGCTGCTGCAAGTGTGGATAAGCAAGACCCTCTCTGAGTAGTTCCCACCTTCCCAACTGGCATTCAAAGTTCTTCTACCAGCACTGAACAGAAGAGAAAGGTCACCTGAGGACTGGGAAATGTAACCTCTTTTGTGAAGTCTTTCCCAGACATTCTCTCCACCATTCCTTTCTTTGCTTCATCTCTAGTAGATTCCAGTATCCAGTAGTCTTTTTTTTTTTTGAAGTGTTGGGGAATAAACCCAGAACTTTGAGCATGTTAGGCAAGTGCTCTACCACTGAGCCCCATTCCTAGCCCCCAGCAGTCTGTTTTCCATCTGTCCTATAATACATCCTTAACAATAGTAGGCAGGTCCTATTCATTTATCCCTAAAACAGAGCCTGCTCCATGGTCAGTGTGCACTGAATAACACAATTCCTGCCTTTGAGGGACTTAAATTTTGATAGAGGAGTTTATGATTTGGCCATGGTTACTAGTTTCTTGGTGCAGTTGTATGGCTTTGAAATAGCAAAGATGTTGAAGGATGAAGGAACAAATGGCCTTCATCCGTAGGAGTAGGATCAAGGTTGACTTCACTTCTAATTCCCAAATTTTACAGTGCTGTCCCATCAAGGTGCGATTAGAGAAGGAAAAAAAAAAATCAAAGGGACTGCAGAAGTTGTGGCAGAGGAAGACTGGGGAGCTATCAGCCAAGACTCGAATTTCAAAAGTTAAGGAGTATGATTAGGGGTTTCCAACTGCACTGAACTTCGGAATCAGAAGGGGAAAATATTAAAACATAGATTTCCCTAGAACCACTCCAGACCCAGTATCCCAGGAGTTTCAGAGAATTGATCAAGTTTGGGAAAGCTGTTGTGGGCACAGATCAAGGTTTTCGAGCAAATGCGGGGTTCACCCTAACTACATTTAAAACCGCACATCGGTCGGAGGAGAACCTGGGGCTTGGGAGGGCAGACAAGCGGCCTCGGCAGTGGTCTGGGCGAGAGACGGCAAAGACCGAGCGGGGAGAAGTCGCCTTCCTCTTGGTTATGAACGCCCACTACGCGGTCCGCTCGGTGGTCTTCCCTCCAGGGGCCGAGCCTACTCAGAGCGCTCTCTTACCCGCCTCATGCGACCGTTGGACAGCAGGTCCGCGATACCCTTGGCCGCGTCATTTTTCTCGGCCACACAGAGGACTTTCCGCACGCCTCGGAAGGCAACTTCCATGGCGGAGCGGGACAAGTCACGGCATGTAGACTGTCGCAGCCAACGGAACACGTATCGGGTGACCGGGAAGATCATCCCTAGGCCCCGCGCCCGCAGTCAATCACACTCCGCAGTTGCCCGAGCATGTCGGGGAAGCCAGTACCGCTCACCGCAAGGGAACTAGAATCTCTGGGCGCGGACCGCGCTTTCGTCCAGCCAACTCCCAGGCCTTCGGAAAGCTGTCAATGGGCTTTCTCCCAGCCGCTGCCGCCTCTACAACGATCCCCGCACCTCAGGGTCCTACTTCCGCCCGCCTTTCTGGACTGCTTCCGCCAGGCGCGCGTACTACAGCGGTCACGAACCACAACTCCCAGACTGCCCTGCACTCCCGGAACTCTCGTTCAAGCTTTTTTCCGCCCCCCTCTCTGGGTCTCCGCACTGCCCCACTTTCCCTTTGTTCAGGACAGTGGTTGGTAATAGGACTCATCGTTGGGAGAGGCTGCCCGCTGGATAGTCCCGTCCAAAGTGCTCTGTCTCTAACGAGCTTTTTCTCTCTAGCTCAGACGTCGGCACGGGCGCTTCCGGGTCACGCAACACCGATGACTGCGAGTCATGTGATACCAAGATGGCGGCACCGCGATAGCTGGCTCCGGGTTGTGGCGTCCAAGAAGCCGCGACGGTTTCTGCCCTCTGGCCGTGGGGGCGGCAACCTTGGCTGACTCCTGCGGCGGCCCGTAGCCCGTGTTGGATACCCCATCCGGGGCTGGGGCTGTTGCTGTCGCAGCGTGTTCGGGGGTGTGCTGGTGACCTCGCTGCAGGTGCCTTGGCTGGCCGCGCTGGCCGGAGGAAGAGGCGAGCAAGCAGCCTCCTTGATCACTTGGGCCTTTGATGTTCATGAGGACTTGGAGGGTTCTGGAGGAGCTACCTGTCTGAGGGAGTTGCGGAAGTTCCAGCCGTCTTGTGTGTGAGGCAGCCTAGGACCCCTGGGGGCTCAAAGGAGGCAGCAAGGACCGCGCTTCCTCCTGGCTTAGTGGCAGTGATTAACCCTGCATTGCTTCCCACTTCCTCTCAATGTTGTCTCCATTTATCAGGAAATATGATCAGCGCCCCTGACGTGGTGGCCTTCACCAAAGAAGAAGAATACGAGGAAGAGCCTTATAATGAGCCGGCCCTGCCGGAGGAGTATTCAGTGCCACTCTTCCCTTTCGCCAGCCAGGGGGCCAACCCGTGGTCAAAACTGTCCGGGGCCAAGTTCTCGAGGGATTTCATCCTTATTTCCGAGTTCTCTGAGCAGGTGGGACCCCAACCCTTGTTGACCATCCCTAATGACACCAAAGTTTTTGGCTCTTTTGATCTCAATTACTTTTCCTTGCGGATCATGTCTGTGGATTATCAAGCTTCCTTCGTGGGCCACCCTCCAGGTTCTGCCTACCCCAAGCTAAACTTTGTGGAGGACTCCAAGGTAGTGCTGGGAGACTCCAAGGAAGGAGCCTTTGCGTATGTGCACCACCTTACTTTGTATGACCTGGAGGCCCGTGGCTTTGTGAGGCCTTTTTGCATGGCTTATATCTCGGCAGACCAGCATAAAATCATGCAGCAGTTCCAGGAGCTTTCAGCTGAGTTTTCCAAAGCATCGGAATGCTTAAAGACGGGCAACAGGAAGGCATTTGCTGGAGAACTTGAAAAAAAACTGAAAGACTTGGATTACACTAGGACAGTGCTGCACACAGAAACAGAGATCCAGAAGAAAGCCAATGACAAAGGCTTTTATTCATCTCAGGCCATTGAGAAAGCCAATGAACTGGCCAGTGTGGAGAAGTCCATCATTGAACATCAAGACCTGCTGAAGCAGATCCGCTCATACCCTCATAGGAAGGTGAAGGGGTCTGATTTGTCTTCTGGTGAGATACAACACTCCCAGGATCAGGCCAACCAGGCATCTGCTACCTCTAATCCTGATGAGTCTGCTGACACAGATCTTTATGCCTGCCGACCAGCTTACATCCCCAAACTCATCAAGGCAAAGTCCACTAAGTGTTTTGACAAGAAGTTGAAGACCTTGGAGGAACTCTGTGACACTGAGTATTTTACCCAGACCCTGGCCCAGCTCAGCCACATCGAGCACATGTTCAGAGGAGACCTGTGCTACCTCCTGACTAGTCAGATTGATAGAGCACTTCTAAAACAGCAGCACATAACAAACTTCCTCTTTGAAGACTTTGTAGAGGTTGATGACAGGGTGGTGGAGAAACAAGAGAGTGTACCTTCTCAGCCCAGACAAGACAAGCTGCTTTCCAGACCTTTGGAAGAATGCCCAATTCCTAAAGTGTTAATTAGTGTTGGTTCTTACAAGTCCAGTGTGGAGTCTGTGTTGATAAAGATGGAGCAGGAACTTGGAGATGAGGAATACAAAGTAGAGGTGAGAGAGCCAAGCAGTTTTGACCCCCAGGAAAACCTAGACTACCTGGATATGGATATGAAAGGGAGTATCAGCAGTGGTGAAAGCATTGAGGTTTTGGGCACGGAGAAGTCCACCTGTGTGCTGTCTAAATCTGACAGCCAGGGCAGCCTCACGGTACCATTGAGCCCCCAGGTGGTCCGGAGCAAAGCAGTTAGCCACAGGACCATCAGTGAGGACAGTATTGAAGTTCTGAGCACCTGTCCTTCTGAAGCCCTCATCCCTGATGACTTTAAGGCCAGCTACCCAACTGCCATTAATGAAGAAGAATCCTATGCAGATAATGAGGGGGCCATCCATTTTCAAGCAAGCATCAGTCCACCAGAGCTGGGTGAGGCTGGAGAGGGCAGCTTGGAAAATACCCCATCCCAAATAGACTCTTCTTGCTGTATTGGGAAAGAGAGTGATGGTCAGCTGGTGCCACTCCCCACTCCAGCCCACACTTTCTCTGATGAGGATGGTGTGGTGAGCATCCCCCCACAGCGCTACCGGCAAAAGGATGAAGGGTTCCATGTGGACTTTGCCATGGAAAACACCAACCCTTCTTCCCGAGACAACAGTTGTGAAACATTCCCAGCTTATGAGCTGGACCCAAGCTATCTGCTGGCTAGCCGGGATGTCAGTAAGACCAGCCTGGACAACTATTCGGATACCACCAGCTATGTAAGCAGTGTGGCCTCTACCAGCTCGGACAGGACTCCCTCTTTTGCTCATCCTGTTGGCCCATCTTCTGAGAGGCACAAAAAGCGGGCTGGCCAGAACGCCTTAAAATTCATCCGCCAGTACCCTTTTGCCCACCCAGCCATCTACTCCCTGCTCAGTGGGAGGACACTAGTAGTCCTTGGGGAAGACGAGACTATAGTCAGGAAGCTTGTGACGGCACTATCTATCTTTGTCCCCAACTACGGCCGCTATGCCAAACCTGTGAAGCACTGGGTCTCCTCCCCTTTGCACATTATGGATTTTCAGAAGTGGAAACTTATTGGCCTACAGAGGTAATTGGCTCCAGGTGGTGGGGAAAGGCCCTGGTCAGTTTGAGATAAGGCAGGTTGATGTCATTGACAGAACCAGGAAACTTGGTTTCTAGACAGGGCCCAACACCAACTGATAGTGTTGCTTTGGCAAGTCATTATTCTCTGACTTCTGTTTCCTTTCCTCTTGGGTTGGGGGAGGGGGTCATACTTCCTAAGTGGTTGCCAACCCATCTGCCCCCCTGCTGTGTCAGAATTATTTGGGAAGATTTTTTAAAATCATGGATTCCTAGGCTTTACCCTAAAGATTCTTGGTCTGCGGTAAGAACATGGACTTTACATGGGTCACCACCTCCCGAGTCCCCTTTTTATTTGCCCCAGGAGTAGAAGTTATGGACCTCACTCCGACCCTTGTTGCATTAGACTACTGGGGTGGTGATGGTGGTGTTATAGCAAGTGCCACTTCTTGACTTAAATCACTTGTGGAGAATCCACTCCAGGCTGTGCCAGCAGGTTCTGGGGACAAGCTGAAGGTACCTGAGCAAGACCAATGCTCTGGAAGAATTCATATTCAGGAGAGAAGACAGGTGACCAGAGCACTGGCATTTAGGGAGATAAATGGGATGTTCCCTGTGTTCTGAGAAGACCAAAGAAGCAACTTAGTGACACATAGGAAGTGAGGGGATGGTGCTTTGAGAAGGACCTGGGTCTTTGGCTTGAGTGAACAGGAGGGTAGGTTGGCTACTCACTGGGTCAGGAAGACCAAGTAAGAGACCAGGCATGGCTCTGAATGAGCCATTCTAGGGCCTCCCAGGGAAACCATCCAGTTCCTGAAAAGAAAGGCCTTCCTGGATGGCTTTTGGTTGCTGATACTTATGGAATGATGGGTCAGTATCCCCCCCACACCCCTCCCTCTGTTCTCCAATTCACGCTTCTCATCCCAACTTTTAACTTGTCAGAGGTAGAGAATCTAAGACACAAGTAGGGGAAGCTCATAGTTCATCAATCTGTCAACACATGATGACTCATCTGGATCAGGGTGGTCCATAATGGTGAAAGGCTGGAGTGCCTTGTGGAGGGGTTCTGAGGGCCAGGCTGGCCAAGTTCAAAAGGTTGGCAATGATATGTGAGTGATGGGGTGAGGGTGCCAGGCAAGGTTGCTGGCCTGTAGGAAGTATATTTGCCCCCTGGAGGGGAAGAGGGAGTCTCAAATCTGAATTCTGGGGCCACCCTATACTGGCCCATTCATTTTGGGGTCACTCCTCCATTCTAAGAAAAATAAGAGGGTTGGATCACTGAATGGTCATTTGCCAAATATTTATGAGGACAACTAAATGCCAGATTCTGCCTAGTGCCAGGATTACAAGGTGAGCCACTCCTTCCCTCCTGTAGTACACATCACGTTCCTCACTATGATGTGAGGGATGAGACCAAATTAGTACAGTCTTAGATCTCTAGAATGCAGTGCTTCTTGTGCATTCCTGACTGTGATGTGAGGGATGAGACCAAATCAGTACAGTCTTAGATCTCTAGGATAGCAGTGCTCCTTGTGAAGTGGGGAGGTGAGTAAACAGCAGTTGCCACATTGGTTAGTGCTGAGCTCAGAGTAGCAATGATGATGACAGAAGCACTGACTGTGGGCTAGTCACCTACTAACATGGCTCATTTTGTCACTGCAGTGACCCAACAAGGAATGTAACAGTAGGAACTGTTATCTCTACCTCATAGAGAAGCGTTCAGGGTAAGGACCCTGGTCCCAGAGTCACAGAAGCAGAGGAACATAGAGCAGCTCAGGGAGGGAAGAATATGATTTAAATAGGCATGAGTCAAACCCAAGCAGAGAGAAGGGCATTGTAAGCAAGGCAAACAGGAAGGGTATATTTGAAGCCCCAGAAAAGGCTTGGCCTGCTCTAGGAAAGTCCCTTCAGGTAACTACTAGAAGAGGATTCAGAAGCCATCAGGAATCAGACTTCACAGGGCCTTATAAACAAGCCAAGGTATTTGAACTTGGTTATGAGGGTAGTGAGGAGCCCTTTGAAGAGCCTGATGATCAGATTTGCTTTCCAGGAGACAGTGTGTGCTGGATGGGTGGGAATTATCCTGGAGACAGCAAGCCCCATAATCATAGCATCTGCCCCTCCATCTTCCTAATCCCTGCCCTTCCTCCTTACCTTGACTTGTTTGTTTCAGAGTGGCCTCCCCTGGCAGTGCGGGCACCCTCCATGCCCTGAGCCGCTATAGCCGCTACACAAGCATCCTGGATCTGGACAACAAAACCCTGCGCTGCCCCCTGTACAGGGGCACTCTGGTGCCCCGCTTGGCAGACCATCGCACTCAGATCAAGCGGGGCAGCACTTATTATCTGCACGTCCAGAGCATGCTCACCCAGCTGTGCTCCAAGGCCTTTCTCTACACCTTCTGCCACCACCTGCACCTGCCTGCCCATGACAAGGAGACGGAGGAGTTGGTTGCCAGCCGCCAGGTGAGCTTCCTGAGGCTGAACCTGGGCCTGGTGAATGAAGATGTCAGGGTGGTCCAGTACCTGGCTGAGCTGCTAAAGCTGCACTATATGCAGGAGTCTCCTGGGTCCAGTCACCCCATGCTCAGGTTTGACTATGTCCCCAGCTTTTTGTATAAAATCTGAAGTTGGTCCCAGCCACTGTGACCAAGACCTGTGACTCAGGGTATGGGAAGGGGAGGGATTGGCGTGACCGGATGGTTGTCCAAGCTGGACTGTTGAGCCCTCTGGTGGCGTCAGTGAAGGAAACGGAGGTGGCAGCTGTGGTTCCCATGTGGCTCTGGGCAGTTTGTGAGATGGGCTGGGTAGAGGTGGGAACCTGGCTCTGAAGGCACACGGAAGATCAGTGACAGGTGTTCACAGCTCCCTGGTCAGTGGTGCCCAGATAGGGGGTGTCCTTGGATTTCAGAGGGTCAGTGGCTCAGTTGGGCAGAGAAGACCCTAGGTTCCTTGATGGGAAGAGGTATAAACACTGGCTATTCATCATTACTGGACTCTGGGATGGCAAAATTGGCTAGAAAGCATCGTGCTAACTGATGATTTGGTGGAAAACTGAACGAGAGAACATCTACTGCCTCATTGAGACCCTTGCTGTGGCCCTCTATTTGGCCTCCTGGAGCCCATCATCCCGGAGAAGACCCATAAATGAAGATTGGAGGGAGAAAGCTCTGGCTAGCCAGGGAATGGAAATGCCCCAGAGGAAATGAGCAGCCCCTTGGTTCTGCCCTCACTTCTGCCAGGGAAGAAAACGCCTGTAAATGGTCCCTAGAGATCATTCCTCATGGGCATCACTAGGCCCAGATGTGAAGCAGGAACCAGAAGATCACAGCCAGCATGAGGATTGTCCTGGGAGCTACAGATGAAATAGTCCATAGGGCCATGAGGCCATGACCACTGTGCAAGAGACGAGTTGCCCGCAGCTCTCCTGGGCCTCCCACTGGCTCTTCCCAGCCAGAGTACAGGAATACTGTCTCCCTTAGGAAGCTCTGCAGACAGGCTGAGACTTGGTAGAGGTACACTCCAGTAGTCACCCACGGCAAGCCTTTGCAACCACTTTACTACCTCTCATGGGGTTTTCTGGACTGGGTCACACCAGGGTTCTGTTCAGCTGGATAGTGTGGGTGGTCATCCTGGCCAGCCGGAATTGAAATGGGAGGGTCTTCCTGGACCAGCGCCCATGTGGCTCTCCTTATAGACCTATCTTTTGGAAAGCTGCATTCATCTGTCCCCACAGCTCATGATAATCCCCATGTGAGTCCCCCTTCAAGGAAGGCATTTGAGACTGAGAAGGAGATACCCTCTGGTTGCTGTCCCACTAATGGCAACCAGCACGGCCTCCCTAGGGCTTCTTCCACCGCTGCCACTGGTGTGCAGACAGAGGGGGTCTCACAACCTTGAAAATGTCATACTTTTTAAAAAGTGTTTTCCTTAGAGGGGAAAACTCTGGGTATTGCTTCTTTTAAAATTTTTTTCCATGAAAATTGCAGTAAACTGGACCCGAGTCAGCTCTGTGTGTGCATCTCTGGGGTCCTGGTTGCTCTGTCATCCTGTGCCACCATCAAGGTTTCTCATGGAGGGAGGAAGCTCTACTTCTTACTGAGGGGCAGAGACTGCTAGTGGAAGCTGAGTGACCAAAGTCTGTGTCACATCACTTTCCTTGTCTGTCATTGGCACAAAGATGTGGCCTGTTGACTCTGGCCACTGGCTTTCAGTCAAGGTCCCCATTCCTGTCACAGGGTGTAATTTTGCTTCTGAGATTGTAACCGAAAACCTTTTGTGGCAGATGGTTCTACCTGTATTCTGTTGGTTCTCTTTGTCCTTGTGTTCAGCACATACATTCACAGAAGTCACCAGGATGCCTTGGCAGCTTCTGACTGGAATATCTGTTGACTTTCTTGTTGTGGGCTCCCTCGACCTGTTCTTGCTTCCCCGTCAGGTTCCAGATATACTTTGATTTCTGAGTGGCTAAGGGCTATCTTCTCCTTCCTCCAAGGACATAACTTTGATATTTTATCTTTAAGGGAGGGAAGGTCTGTGGAGTCCAAATGACCAGGTGGGAAACTATCACTGGCACCATTGCCATTGCTTTCCTATGTGTCACACCAGCACAGAAACTTCATGGCTAACACTGTGCTCGCTAGGGGAACTGATAAAGGTGGAAGATGAGCTTCAGGCAGATGCTGAACAGCCACACTTGGCTTTCTGGAAGCTAAAGCCATGCACTGAGAGGTCCTAAGTGGCAGTCCCTTTGGGGAGTATCTGCTTGGCACTCAGCCTCAAGGGCGTCTCAGAGAAGTAAAAGGCAAGAGACTGGTGGGGAGTTAGTGGAGCAGATGGCCCAGGGGGCAGCCACAGCCACAGAAATGGCAAAAAGGGACACCTCTCCTTCAAAGTGGTTCTTCATTATGGCTTCACTGACTACAATGTTTGAACTCCCAGTTTATGTTTTGGTTAAAAATTAGCTTTTCCACATAGTGGTTTCAAAGGCTTATTTGATACAAAGTGTGCTTCCTTTTAGAAGGATCTTGAAAGTGGTGCTGACACTGAGTCATAGCTTGGGCAGAGGCATTTAATACCAATGCTCTGCCAATCCCTAGCCCCTCCACTTCAGAAGAATCAACCTTCCAGAAATTTCCCATCTACACACCTCAAGGGTATGGGAGACCTTTGTAATAGGATCTCTTCAAGAGTTTTCATCTGAAGTATTCCTCATACAACATTAAAAAATAACACTTCCCCAAAAGGAGGTGACATTAGTGCCCCTTATTACTTTAATCCCAACAATTGCTTTGAGGGCTCTGGTACTGAAACTAGTTGTTTGAGGTTTGTTTCAACTGGACCTCTAACCCAATATTTCCCTCCCCACAATTTTTAAAGCAGTCCTGGTTAAGAACCACCTTATCAGACTGCCAATTAATACACTACTGACTTTCAGAAGCTCCATTTTAGAGATGAGCTCATAGTCTTCTACAGCAGATGACTATTTCCCTAGGAATCTTGCTACTTCAGTGAAACCTGTGGATGTTAGCATTTGTAACTCTTCCATAATTTACAACAATGACTGAAGTTACATTGTTCCTGAATTTGGAAATAGACTGATTATTTCAGACATATCTAACGTATTTCAGATCAGTTGCTGGAGCAAACTATAGATTTCAGCCCCACACAATAAGTCCCATTTCAATATCCTAGGAAAGCCAGTAGTAGATTCCACCCTAGTTCTCAGGGCTGTTGCAGTTGAGCCATGTGGTGTGGAGGCAGAGAGCAGCCTCTACTCCCTGGACATCTTGCATGCATACTAGACTAGTGCTGAACACATGTCCTACACCACAACCTGAACTATGCATGTGAGCCAGCGTCTTGTGCTGCCATATTGTACCTTCCCTGTACAGCTGGTAGTGCCAACTCAGCCGACAGGGATGAGTCATTACATGTACAAGGCCAGTGGGGGAACTGACCCTCAGAGCAGGCAGGCAGGCCTCTCCTGGGCTCCTGTACTTTCTGCTTCCCTAGAGAGATCACAAGTACTTTGAAGCAAACTGGCAAGCTCTGTCTTTGTCCCAGTACCATGATTGGAAGTGACAACTGGAATCTTTAGAAGACATTTATCATTAATAGACTGTAAATAAAATGGAAAAGCATCAAATTTCTACTTCTGGTTGGAAAAGTGAAGTCAATCTCAGCTGATAAGGCAGGGCACACTAAGCTTTCCTGAGCCCCTCCTTTGACCTCTTGAGCCTTATAAGGTTTGTAAAAGCTTTGGGAAAGAGGTGGCAGGAGGAGATGGGGATGTTGGGATGGGGAATGAGCACTCAGCAGCATGTTAACCTGCTGGGATGGAGCTCGGCTTCCGGGAGGAACTTCTCAGCTCCAAAATGGGGGAGTCACACAGGGTCTTAGGGGATGTCCAGTTATCTTCAGCTCCTAAATCAAAGGCAGAGGGATGGGAACTGATTTGTCACCTATACCCATGAAGAACACTGTAGTTGTCCCTACACACAGTGGAAGAAACACCAACAGACTATATCCTAGGCCACAAGGAACATCATCTGCAAGACAGGACCTCAGGGAGCTGTATCCAGGCTGGAGCCACAGGTTGAATGGAGATAAATGCCATTTTTAAGATTGCAGCTAGAAGCATAATCTGTGATGAACTCTTGTTATTTTCTAAAAAGCTATTTTACTACTGCATGTTCCTGTGGTATCTGTGAATGTGTATCCCAACCCCACAAGCTGCAGTTGTCACAGTGGCTGGAGTTGGAGTAGGACTGATGCATTGACAGCATCTCACAGGTGTTTTACTGCACAAGAGTTTAACCAGAGTAAATGCCAAACAAATAGTATGAGGAGTAGACTTTTTAAGAAATTAATTTATTTGAGTTCAGATTATTTTTGAAATATAAAAATTGGTTGTATTTTTTAAAGCTGTAATTCTTGTAGACATTCTGTGGTTAAAATTTCGATTGTGCTTATTAAAATGGTCATCTATGGTTTGCATTTCAGCTATGTGAAAAATAAAGATTCTTTGGGAAGGTGACATTGAGTTCCTGATTATAGGAGGGAGTTGGTTTTCTCGGGTGGAGCAGGAAAGCCTCTGGCCCCTGGCTGACTCCCATACCAAGAAGGGACTGGGCCCTTCTTTGGATAGAAGGTGGAACAGATCGTTTGTATAACACTTATTTTTGATGCTGGGGATCAAACATGGGGCTTCATGCATGCTAAGAACATGCTCTACAAGTGAGCTATACCCCCAGCCCTTTTACAACAGACTTTGAGGTGCTGACAGCAAATGCTCCCACTGTACTGGGTACACCTTGTATATACTTGTCTAACTTGTAATTTAAAATACACAGCAGAGGCTTCAGAATTGCCCTCTCCAGTTGTAATGGTCACAGTTCAGTGCTCCTTTGGCAACAATCCCATTGGGCAACAAAACAGGAAGAGTGGGCACCATTTAAGCTGTGAACTGGGGTATTTCTTAACCTGTCGCAGCAAGTCAGGGGAGAGCCCAGCAACTTAGAGAATGCAGAGGAAAATACTGGAATCTTTCTAATAGCTTTCTCCTGTACTGCTGTCTAAATGATTAAGGCTAAAGGGCTATACAGTATTTCTTTTTCTAGAATTAAATACAACTGTTGAAAATCAGAGGTTCAAATTTAAATTACTTAAGAACCTAAGAATTACTAACAATCAGTCTTAAATAAATTTCAATTTGTGAAAACAAGAAAAGTCCAAAAGAAATGCCCTCAAAAGGGCAGAGAGGGGCTTAGTAGGTCCCTTGTGGGGCACCTCCATCATCTCTCTTGAGGGACTGGGTCCTCAGGCAGGCGACTCCCTGGGCAGTGCTCCTGTTTGCCCTTCTGGTGTGCGGTGGTGGCGCCAGGTCAAGTGCAGGGAGTAGGATGACAACTTCAGAAGTCAGGCAGGCCAGGCAGAGGGAAGAGAGAAGCAAAGCTCTCCACTTCCTCCCGGAGGGCCTGCACAGCCTTCTGGTGCTTCTCATCCCCTACCAGCTTCTCCTTGAACTCCTTCAGGGAGGCCTTCGAGCCCAGGTTGCTCTGAATCTGCAGAGTCAGCTCTATCCCTGGGCCATAAGACATAGTGACTCACTTGTGGGTCCATCCCACCCTAGCCACCCCAAAAGGAAGGACAGTTGGAAGTCCAAAGCACACTGCCGCAATGTCCCCAAGCTGGGAGTGACCAAACTATAGGTATTAATGTTCCCCTCAGAGGTGATTCTTGTGTGTGACATCCCTGAGCAGCATACATTTACAGACCTCTCAAATAAGATGTGGTAGAGTGATTTTGCTGCCCCCTGACCCCCAACTTGGCCTTGACATAGACATTGTGAATAGCAGGGTCTTGGCCACAGTTAGAAACTTCACATATAGGAGAATGTGGCAGACACGCCAAATCTTACTCTTACCTCTGTGGATAAAGTGCGCTACTTTTTGGAAGTCTTTTTCCAAGAGTCCTCGGGATGTCAGTGCTGGGGTTCCGAAGCGCAATCCGCTAGGCCGCAGTGCACTTTTGTCGCCTACAAGACAAACGGGGCTCTGTCCCTAAGCTACACTTAGAGCACTGTGCATTTATTTTATGCAGTGCCATGGGCTGAACTCAAGGCCTCATGCATGTTAGGCAAGTGCACTGCCACAGCTACATTCCCAGCCCTTTTTAAAAATTTGAGTCTTGCTAAGTTGCCAAGGCTGGCTTTGAACTTGCGACTCTCCTGCCTCAACTAGGTCATTTTCAGGACAGGTTATTTCAAATGCAGCTGGTGGCTTGCATTTTAAAAGGACAAGTGGGCAAAAAGAATTGGCTTGCGGATCCTGGCTTGGTCTAGCAAGAATAGAGCTGTGAAGAGTATAGCTGATTTAAAAACTAGCAGTAAAAGCTGGGTGTGGTGGCACACAACTGTAATCCCAGCAACTTGGGAGGCTGAAGCAGGAGGATCACAATTTTGAGGCCAGACTTAGCAACTTAGAGAAGCCCTCAGTAATTTAGGAAGACCCTGTCTCAAAATGAAAAAGGGTTGGTGGTATTCAGTGGTAGAGTGCCCTTGGGTTCAATCCCCAGTACTAAAACATCATCATCATCAACAACAACAAAAAGTAAGTAAAAATAAACCAATAAAAAATACACAAAAAATTAGTGTGGTACCAAAGACACAAGGAGGTGGGATCATATTTTGGCTATTCTGTTCTGGCGATCTGCAAAGTGGTCTTCTGTGCTGTGGCCCTTGCTCCTGAAAAGGTCAACATCTGTCTAGGTTTGAGATATGTTACCATTTTATTAATACATTGAGAAATGCTGCCTGTTTACAAAAAGTCCTACCTCTCATCAAAGGCTATACCACGCTGAGGGCTCCACATCAGCCTTTCCCTTTCTATCACCGCAGGGTAAGAACCAAGCCCAAAGGAATATATGGGAAGAAGCCCAGGATTAGCTCCCCATTAGCATGGAGCATATTTGTCCCCCAGTCATCTGAGGTCTGAAATACTTTCATTAGAAAACAACGGGCTGCTGGGCTGGGGTTGTGGCTCCGCAGTAGGTTGCTTGCCTAGTACGTGTGAGGCCCTGGGTTCGATCCTCAGCACCACATAAAAATAAATAAAATGAAGGCATTGTGTCCAACTATAACTAAAAAATAAGTATCAAAAAAACCCCAAAAAACTACGGGCTGGAAGAAATATAGACAGAGGTGTGTGGAAAGAAGATCAAAGAGGAGTCTCACCTGGGCAGGTGTTCTTGTTGCATGCAATGGAACAAGCTTCTAGCACCTTCTCAGCCCTTCCACCATCTGTGCCCTTAGAACGGAGATCCAGGAGGATCAAATGGTTGTCAGAACCCCCTGGAAACAGAATTGGACATGATGGAATGAGAGGTGCATTGTAGGCCAAGTGAAGGAAATTGGGCAGCCGGTGGAGGAGACGAAGGCTGAGGAGGCTGGGAAGTAAGCACCCACCACGAGTATCAATTACCCACAAGAAAAGAAGCCCCAGGCCTAGGAATTGATAAGGGGACAGAACCTGTGTAAACAGGGGTATCATACAGAGGACCAATGTGAGGCTGCCAGGTAGAACATCTAGTGGCTTTTGTGGCTCAGACTACCAACACCCATGATATGACACAACACAACAGGGGTCAGCAACGGGTTGGAGTTTCCCTGGGTCCATGTGTTTGTGGCTTCTGACAAATAACTTGTAAATTTCCTAAGTGACTCTGATTTTTTTGCCATGCTGGGGATAGATCATGCGTGGCAGGGACTCTACCACTGAGCCACACCAGAGCCTCTCTGACACCAATCTTACAAGCTCCTCTAAGAAAGCACTAGAGAGTGGTGGGTAGGGGTTTCAATTTACTGCCCAGGTGGGAAAACCACCATACTTACTACGTACATATTTGGTGTTAAGACTCTGCTAGCCTCTTGCTCATTTTATTCCAAACCCTGGTGGGGTTGACAGTTGTGAATGCTTGATATATTTCAGATTTTGGATAATTTGCTAGACTTTCCTGTTTGAGCATCCCTATCCTCAAAGTTCAAAATCCAAAATATTTTAGGTACCCTGTCATGTTCACAAAATTTGATTTTGGATTAGGGATACTCAACCTATATTATCAAAGTAGTACAGAAATCTTAAGTGTTCCCCCAAAGTCCACGTGGCACAGACTTGGTCTGCATGTGATGCTTTTGGGAGATGGTAGAACCTTTAAGGGGTGGGGGAAGGGAACAGTGGACCACAGATCCTTCCTCTTCTCTATTTTGCTGCCTGGCCAGGAAGTGAGGTTTTGTTCCACCACACACACCAGCCATAATATGCTACTTTACCATAGACTCAAAAGCAACGGGGCTGATTGTCGGATGAAAAACCTCCAAAACTATGAGCCAAAAGAAATGTCTTCTCTTTATAGACTTATCACCTCAGGTATTTGCTATCATGATAGTATGCCAAAAGAGCTGTCTGGACCTGACCAAAGGTCCAGAAACTCTTCAGAGCCCCTGGGTCTTTCCACTTTGAACTTTCATTAAGCCAGGCATGGATTTGGGACATAAGAGAATTCTCACCTCGGCATGGCTATGTTGCAGGGATGATTTCAAAGATGCAGGGGAGCTAAGTTGACAGCTTAGCTTTGGAGCCCTGTGGCTGAGTCCATTGATTGGCAATGTGGCTTCTGTCAGGCAGTTCAACATTTTGGAACCTCAAATGCCCATTTGTATAAAAAGACTAAAAATTCAAAAGGCTGTCATGAGGTTTAAATGAGACACTATACATAGTGCTTGGCGTGGTGCCAGGCACAAAGTAGATATTCACAGTCATCATCTGCTTCCATGTCTATACCACATCTCAAACGGCAGAATGAGCAAAGATGATGTCACCAGGGACAGGGCAGGCCTGGCGTGTAGGAAGGTGGACGAGACTGCTGACACCAGGGCTTTCCTGTGGCTAAAATGAACAGGACCTAACTCCTTGCAACTCCCATGGCAGTTCCCCAACCAGTGCCACTTGGGAGCTAGAATGGCTACAAATGCAGCCCTCACCACAGACCTGCTGTGCCAAAGCTGTGTTTTACCAGGATCCCCAGGGGATTTGTGTGCACAACCAGGTTTAAGAAACTAATCTAAGGGACCTTGAAGGTCACAGTCCACATTGGGATTTCTATTTCCATTGGATATTGGATTTTCAATATCTTGAAGATGTGAAGGATGAAACAGGAAAAGAAGCCAAGTAGAACGTGATGGGTGGGTATTGCCCAGGGCTGAGGTGGAGCTCACCCAGCCCCTGCCAGCTCTGCCACTAATGGACAGTTTGGTGGGAGCACCACTCCTTAAACCACGGGATCTGGGATCTCTGTAGATAGTGAAGGATAGGGTACAGGGAGAAAGCCCCTAAGCCTACAGATGCCATGACCCCACATTTCTGGTCCACCATCGCTACAAACAGGGCAGCCCTGTGTATAAAAAAGCCACCCTTCCTCATGGCAACTGACATTGATTTGAGAAAAATGCTGTCCTTCCTGGAGGAATCCGCAATGCCA